CTTTCCACTCTATACACAATTTCCCCTGCCTTTTAAAAGTTCTGGGGCCTGACAGGGATAGTGTGTAGTAGTCCACTTCTGTCCAGCTTCTTCCATAGTCAGATATCTGGATCCAAACCTGAACATTATCACTTTAGAAAAATCAACTACAGAAGCTCTGTTAACACATGGACTTGAAAGCAAGTTCATTTGAAATAAGTGAATGTTACTTCCAGATAAAGCTGGGTTAGGTCCAGAAAGTTTGTTAAAAGTACTCAGCATCAAATGCATTTGTGTGGTTCACAATATTTTAAATTCTGAATTTCTTAATTTTTTTGCATTTGTGCCAAAATTTCATTTTTCCTGAAAGCCACATGGCAACAATATTATGATTTTAATGAACTATCAAATATTGGTTAAATTAGCTTTTTTAAAGAGTAAGAACATGAAAATCTGTTGTGTGGTTTGTATTCTTCAAAAAATACACTTGGTAAATGTTAGCATCTTGTTATAAGTGCATACATTTTTGCAGCCAAGCTGAAGTGGACAGCATTTTGGAATTAGCGGGAGTAACTTCTCACAGAGTTTGCTAAGTGGATAGAGGAAGAAGCGTATGTGACAAGCTCACATTTTCTTCTTTATTTTAGTGGGTTTGACTTCCAAGACTTACTAACGTGTTGCCTGCACATCAGATAGCCCCATGTAGAAGCAGGGGGAAGGCCGTGCTTTTCGCCCCATTCTGGCCATTGTGTTCATGTACTAGCCTCATCTTCCTGCATCCACATTGTGAGCATGGCTGCCTGTCAAGAAACCTCTAAGCTTTAGGGGTTCCTCTGCAGACAACTACACTCGACATGGAAATACATCAGGCAGGTTTCATATTGGTGTGTGACCTCGGGGGCAGCTCTAGAAGCATCAGCCAACTGTTGCTTCACCACAGGACAACCTGACACACAAGGAACATGAGAGAGTTGGCAGCACTTTTTCTATGTGGAAATACAATCTGATTGATGCTTTCCTTGTTTAGGTGAAGAGCTGGCAATGCTAGAGGATATGAGTGTTGGTATAATGGACTTGAGGAATGTAACATTTAAAGTAACCCAGGCTACATCGAATGCATCTGCCGACATGCTGCCAGTTATTACAGGAAATCGGTAAAAAGGAAAGGTGTGGGGAGGAAGGGAAGTGAAATTCTGAAAACAAATTCTGGTTAAGATTGAATACTTGAATTCCACATGTAAAAGAAAAAATCTGGGCAAATACATAGTACAGAAAGGCTTTTGAACCTGGCTTTGGTGAACATTTAACTTTACCTTGATCAGCTTAACTAAATGAGGCTAGGAAAAATGGTCCAAAGTCCAGGTTTCATTGTTTCTTAGAACATGTATTAACATCTCAGATGTGATTTTTTTGGGGGGGAGAAGAATAGTGTTTAACCAAACATTTATTGCAAATGTACTCAAAACTGGAGACACATTGATCTGCTTCAAGATTATTTTGAAGAGCAAAACTCATTGTTTACACAAAAGTGTAGTATTTTGCTATGTGGGTTGTCTACTAAAATATGATGTGATAATTTCCTGCACTGGAATCCAGTTTTATTTACTGTTTTGAGAGGAAGTGTTCACTTCTTTCTGGACAGTATCAAACAGCTGCTTAAAAGAAAGTGCCAACAACTTTGGTTTTATTTAATTAAGTTGATAACTTTCTGTGCATTCACATTTTTTTGTCTTAAAAGAAACGATCTTTTTAAATAAATGGGGCAAATGATGCTTGTTTAACTTTTTTCTGTTCTAACTTAGGGATGGGTTTAATGTGAGAATCCCATTGCCAAGCACCTTGTTTGATGCGCTGCCCCGTGAGATTCAGAGTGGCATGTTACTGAGAGTTCAGCCTGTTCTCTTCAATGTGGGAATCAATGAACAACAAACCTTAGCAGAAAAGTACATGCATTCTATTTTTAAAATGTTACATTCTTAATTGAAGTTAGATAAATAGGAAGTGATTGAGTTATATCAAAGTCCTGATTTGGCCTTGGCTATTTACCTTCTTTCAGTTCCTCAGGTTGCTATTAATCTCTACAACCCATCCCCTGTGTGATATATAAATGTTATTATTATATTTGGGGTTTCAGTTGCAGCCCTGTCTGGATGAGTTTCATTGCTGCAATTAAAGTAGTATTCACTACTTGCTATTTGAAAAGTGCCTTAATCACTCTAAAGCAGGGTCAGACTAATGTGCTCATGAAAAATCCATCTGAGATTGTTCCAGAAGGAATCCCTTAAGATGCCATGCAAGAGTCTTCCTGTGCCAGAAGAACAAGTAATTACCCATCAAACCTGATCTGCTGTACTCCTGTACCATTGCTGAGAATTCATTACCTGGTCCTATTCATCACTCTTTATATGTTAATTGGTTTGAATGCCGTGTGTGTGTGTGTGTGTGTGTGTGAGTGAGAGAGAGAGAGAGAGAGAGAGAGAGAGAGAGAGAGAGAGAGAGAGAGACACCTTTTTGGGCAAAGACTCCATAAACTGGTTAGTTGCAAATATAATATGAATAACCATACTGTTAAAAGCAGCATTTAAAAATTAAGTATAAACTAGTTATGAGATGTCCTATAGAGATTGTTACAATCAATAAAGTTTTATAGCCAGAAGTCAAAAATGTTAAGAGTCTGAAGATGTAGTTGTGTTTAGAAGGTGTATGTATATGCAATATTTCTTTGCTAATGTAATGTTTTTGATTTTTAAAGGTTTGGAGACACTTCATTACAAGAAATGATTAACATGGAAAGTTTAGTAAGATTGAATTCCTACTTTGAGCAGTTCAAAGAAGTTTTGCCTGAAGACTGTAAGTGCGAATAACAATCATATTCAGTATACTTGAATTTAAGTTGGGCAAAATTTAACTTAAAGATTGTATGCAGTGAATTAACCATATATGAAATAGCTAGTTTGTTCCAAATGCATTGATCGTTTTTTCTGATTTCAGCATTCACTAGGATTCTGTGAAATCAAAAGATTTGACCTACTTGTGCAAATGTTATTTCAATGTTCTTTACTTGAAGTATCTGAAAGCTTAAATTGGGATGTAACACAGCAGCTAGGCTGCTACGTGGGGCCCAGGATCAGGACTGTCTCACAGCTTGCGCTGAGCCTGTCAACTAATGGCTAAGTGTCCAGACAAGCCAGGATCAAAAGTTTGTCAAGATGTATGACTAGAAGAGGGAAAAGAGATATTTTTTAACCTTGAAGGTTCCCAAATTTCTGGTTTCAGCTGAATGAACATTTCATTCCAAATGATTTTAAATCACTTTTAAGATGCCTTTTCTCTCACTTTCAAGGGGAAAGCAAAGAAGTGATCCAGCATGATTTGTTAATAAACAAGAAGGATCTACCTTAAATGGCACTCATTGGCAGAAACAGGAAAATGTTACCTTCCCATTGTGAAGTTTCTCTTACAAGCATGGAATCAGTGGAGGGGAGTTGGGCAGTGCGAGTAGGATGACAATTAGTTCTGAGTCAACTCCATAAGATTCAATCTATGTGGAATTCAAGGTGCCAGTGGATGATGGTGGCTAGAATCAAGCTTCCTTAATCAGATTAAAAGACTAGTTAGTCCTTAGTCATTCTTGAAATAATGACTAATTCCCAGTGATTTTAGTGGGTCTACTCTAAGACTGAGTTCACACAACACAATAACCCATACACAAGTTTGAGCATAGCTTGAATATAGGTTTTCATTGAACCATGGGTAGTTGTTGAAAATGGATTGATGTGTTGTCCTAACCCAGCTGCAATAACAAACCATGTTTGATAACCATGAACAACTCACAGTTTACAACCCAGCAACAAACCAGCTTTCTATTTATGAGTTATTAATGGTTAACAAACTGTCTTTTTTAGTATAGCTGGGTTCAGACATTAACAACGCATGGTTCAAAAATAATCTGCTATTTAACAACCCACACAGCACCTATATCCAACCTTGAGTGTAGGTTATCACATTGTGTGAATCCAGTCATATGACTAAGATTAGGTTTAAGTTTAGGTTCAACTCAGAGTTCTTACTTTATATTAATAACTGAACATTAGCTTAAATATTAATTAGCTATGAAATTTGAAAGCTTAAAGTTCCTTTGAAAAGCAAAGACAAAGTTAACACCATATCTAAGTTTGATTGAAAATTACTTCAAATTTATTGGGACATCTAACATTCAGGGTAAAGAAAATGTGTTTGCAGTATAATTTTGGGACAGCACATCTAATTTACCTGTGGTGTTCTAAAAATCCAAGAATTTTAGAATCATATGTTACGTAATGGCATTATTTTGTCCCCGATGCTATTTAATGTCTATATTAAGCCATTGGAAGCTGTGATTAGGGGGGATGGAAGGAGATGCCATGAGAACGTGACACCTAGCTCTGTTTTCTGTAACATCTGAATTGGGGGAGGCTGTGCAAGACTAGTACATTGGTAGGCTGGATGCAAGCCAGAAAACCGAGTTTGGACCCTGGCAAGATGAAACCTCTCTGTGTGAGTGATTCTAGGAACTGGGTCAGTTGTCCACTCTGGATGGCATTACACTTCCCTGACGGAGCAGGTGTGTAGTCTGGGGTACTCATTGAACCAGGAGTAGTTTTTATAAACTCCAGCAGTTAAGATAAGCATGGGATTCCTGGACAGGAGTCACTTGACCCCTGTAGTTCATGCATTAATGCCCTCAGTATTTGATTAGTGCAATCTGCTGTATGCAGGGATACTCTTGAGGCTGCAGAGTGCTACAGCCAGGCTAGTAATGGGGACTACTGCCAGCATATTACACCCCTGCTGAGTGAACTTCACTGGCTTCCTGGTGCTGGATCAGATTTAAGCATGTGGTACCTGTTCACAAAGTTCTCACCAAATTAGGATCTGGATGCTTAAGAGATTGCCTGACCCCATGACTTGCATACTCATTTGCTGCACTCAAGAGATACTCTGTGAAAGTGCCCAAGATTTCAGAGTCCTGCTCGCTGATGTCCACTTAGTATCATAGCACCTATTCCCTGGAACTCTTTTCTGTTCCAGGTTAGAGCAGAAAACTGGTTTCAATGCTTACCAAAAGCAAGCATTCTCAGAAAAGGAATCTCTATACAGTAATACATATATGTAATCTAATTATGAACTTATGGTGTATTTTTATATATCAAATAAAAATTCCATAAGCAATTCATGAATGAATGAATGAATATGAGTGTTATTGTTTCAGTGCCATGTGATCCAGTAAGATTTTAGGATATTTAACGGGTCCATACTCCAGTATGAGATAATGCTTTGCTTATTAATGGTAGACAGAATTTTGTGCAATGCTGGTGGGGCACACAAAACAGCAACAGTTAGTTACAGTGTTTGCCTATGGTGAAGTGTTTAAAGTTTACAAATAATGTCCATTAGAGAAGGTAAAGGGAATTATGTAGAAAAAATGACTTGCTCTTAGCACGATTTTCCATATTGGAATAGATATAATTAAATTCAGGTAAGGGATTGGGTTGAATGATTGAACTAATTTAGTCATTCAGTTATTGGACTAATTATTGAATATGTCAAATAGAAATATATTTCTTCCTTTACAGATTCTGTATTTAAGATTGTTTGTATTATTTTTTCTATTTTTAAATGGTATTAGGTGTGCAGCATTATTTGCTACATCATCTTTGAAAAGGGGCTTGCTATGCATGGTTTTTAAAATAAGTGCATTTCAAAAAAGATTTAGATTCAACTCTTTAATCATTTCAAAGTGTAATTTAATTGATTAACAGTGCAGACCAAATTAAAAACGCTTTAAAATTGTGCCACATATTACAATGACTTGGTATAATTTTCCAGATTCATACTAAATAGATTATTTGTTCCAGGAGATGAAATGTCATAAATGTGTAATCTAGTTCAGAGTTCCCCCTTTGTACAAAATTTCTAAGGGATTGATGAAAAAAAGATTCAATTCACATAAAATGTAGCCTCAGGAATTTTACAAATTTGTTGCTTTCTGCACCTTATGTATGAGCCTGTGCAGATGTTGACCACTATAAACAGGGTGTACTTTCACGTTCTACTTGCCTTTCTTTATTAGGTCTACCTCGATCCCGTAGTCAAACGTGCCTGCCTGAATTGTTGCGGTTCCTTGGACAGAATGTACATGCAAGGAAAAACAAGAATGTTGATATTCTTTGGCAAGCTGCAGAGGTATTTACTCTTGCTGTAATGGGAGCACAGTGCATATCTGCTTGCCCCATATGTAACGGGCATACAGCACATCGGGAAACAACACCTACTTGCACATATGCTACCGTAGTGCCAAGCTGTAGTGTTAGGGCAGCTACAGTTGTCTGTCAAAGCTTGAATTTGACAGCTTTGAGAGTATGAGAGTCTAAAACTGGTGCTGCCTCAGCACAGTGCAGCTTCACCCCTCACTCAGGGAAAAGCAGTACTTCCAAGTTAGCCTTGGCACTGCTAAGTCTCTGTACCCAGCTTGTCTATAAATGCAGTCCTCGATGTATCTAGCACATTTGTCGTTCCTGTCACTGCCTTTGCAACAGTGGAATTGTTCAGCTGGCAGTAATGCCACGATGAGCACCATGGGGTGCTAGCAGTAGGGCTAGTGCAAAGTCTAGCTCTTAGCCTGGGCCTTACATTGAAGTGAGTGGCTTAGCCAGGAAGGAGGGGCTGGAGAAATATGCAGTGGGAGAAGGTGTTCCTTGTGGCTTGTTTGGAGGATGGGTGGGTTTGCAGTTCTGCTAGTTTCTGTCCCTTGAAGAGTCACCCTTGCTGTCTTCTCAATCCTAGCCTTCCAAGAGTTTATAGCCATGAATTCCCATGGCTGTTAGCAAGACGGAGTCCCCTGTATCCTGTGCTGCTCCTTTGTGAGTGTTTTGGAAGTGGAGTAAAAAGTGAGAAACTAACAGGCAAACTGAGCAGTGCTGGGCAGTCATCCTCAAAGATTCCTTTGCAGCACTGAGATTTTGATCAATTCCACTTTGCTTCTTCTTCAGTTATTGGCCTTTTAAAAAACCTGAGAAGCCTGTTTCCAGCTCCTCATGCCATGTGCACATGGATTTGAAGCTGACAAGTAATGTTGTTTTGCTAAAACTGCCCCCATCCCAATTTCAGTTGTGATATTCTTAAGACTTTTGGAGTGGCCATACGCTTTTTCTTGGCATTGCTATTGTACTAATAGATAGCATTCTTTTCTAGATTTGCCGCAGACTAAATGGTGTCCGGTTTACAAGTTGCAAAAGTGCCAAGGATAGGACTGCCATGTCAGTGACACTGGAACAGTGTCTCATATTGCAGCATGAACATGGAATGGCCCCACAGGTTTTCACCCAGGCCCTGGAGTGTATGAGGAGGTAAGACTAGGACTGCTTACTGGCCACTTCTTTCTAATCCTGGAGCCATGTAAACTGCAGATGGGTGGTTCTCTACATCTTTGATGGGGATAGTTATATAACAAATATAACTATCGAGAAAGATTAACCACATGAACTAAAGCTGCTGGAAATCTATTAGATCTCACTTGATGCAGAGTTAGCATATTTGTGTGCTTTTTTAAAGTTCCTCAAAGAGGACAATTTTTTATTTAGTCTTTTACTAGTTCATTGGATCATAATAATTATTGGTTATAATTGAGACATAAAAAAAAACATTGCTCACATGCAGTTTTTGCTGCTGTACTAGTTTGAAAACATTGCTGTTGTGACATTGCCCTGGTTGTCATTTTCCTTAGATGTGATCTGCGTAATGATCTATTCTATAAAGGATATACATCTGCAGGTTGCATTGGTTTGCTCTGCTTACTCCTCAAGCAATACAGTTTGCCCTTCCAGCAAATTGTCTTTATGAATGTTTCATGATAAAACAATCAAAATCCATCACAACCTGTCAGTGCACTGTGGTCATATCAGTTTAACCTGTTTTCTGAAGCAGCAGATGTGTTTGCAAAATTGTTTTCTACTGTTATTAAAAAAAAAAGAGGTACCTGTTTACTCTTGTTCAACATATTGTTTCAAGCACTGTTGGAAAGCTCCAATTTTACATACCAAAAAAGAAAGGATAAGAAATCCAGATTTAGTCTTTATCGATGTAGTTTAACACTGCTGTAGAGGCCTGTTTTCAACATTCACTCTTGCTGAATGTACTGTACTGTGTGTCTTCTCACCAAATTATCAGAAGTGTTCAATTCTCTTATCCTTTCTGTATGTTTTTGCTATTTGATCCTTTCTTAATCTTCAATGTTCTATTAGAACAAAGCAATTTGTTTCAGTGTCACCTTATTACTTCAGAATTCTGCATAGAATCATGTATATTAGTCACAGGATTGCATAATGGAATTGCCCTCAAGCACAGCTGACATATTGTTATTAAACCAACTGCTGGATTAAGAATATGTTATACCCAAATATGGGAAAGATAAAATCTGCTCAGATGTATTCCCATTGTTGTCTTTTTGACAGAAATACCAGTGGAGCCAGTAACCTAAGGAGGCTAAGGCTGCCCCCCCTCCATTGGAGGCCTTCAAGAGGGAATAGGATAGCTGTCAGTTAGGGATGGCTTTGAGTCCTGCATTTAGCAGAGAGTTGGACTTGATGGTCTTACAGGCTATTTCCAACTCTACTATTCTATGATTCTATTCTGAGCTTCTACTGTATCACTTTAGGGAAGAAAACCTTTAGGGGAAAACACTATAGAAATGATGATAATAAGTGCATATTAGGAATCTTTATTATTATTAGGTAAATACATCTAGTATGTATCACAACTAAACAAAGTAAGTTCTATTGTTGTAGAACAATTACCTTGCAGTTCAGACACCACATTGTTAACATTAAAAATGGGCAAAGGGCACATTTTCCTGTCCCACTTGTTAATTTGAATTTGAAGAATGCTGTGAAATATCAAGAAGTTACTTCTCCTGTAGCATTTTCATCAATACGTCTTATTAAATTTTTATGTAAATAGCTGATGGTTTGGACAATGTTCAAATAAAGGTAATCTATGAAATTAGCATTGGAAAACAATCAAGAAATGCTACAAGTGGTTAATTTTGCCTGAAAGTCTGATATTTCTCTGCAAGCACCCTGATTCAGTGCTACGTTTTTCACATATGCTAGACTTTGCACATAGTTTATTTTAGGCAATGTCTCTTTGACCTAATCTGTGTTAACAATTCTGTGTGGAAAAGCCACCCATAGTAAGATCTGAGGCTGATCTGTAAGTATTGCTGGCTCAAAAAAGTTAAAATTCATTTAAAATTTAGGATAGTGAATAAGCTTATTATTGTGGTTCACAAAAACATGTAAATAATAATAATAAATAAACTGGCCATCTATTCCTAGCAGGTGGTATTTTAGCTGGGAAAGATGCCAGTTTACATTGCTCATTATACTTCTTCATACCCTTTGGGGAAGCATTTTTAGAACGTTCTTTGGGGCTAGGCCACTTTTATGCTCCTACCTTTTATAGCAAGATTATTGATTTAATTCTATATAACCTGCATTGAAGAATTCTCGAAAGGGTCAAATGCTACAATGGTTATTCATGTTCAGTTTTGCTTTTCAGAGCTCCATTTTTTGCAGCATGTGAAAGCATGGCAGAGCAGCATGGAACATTGCTTGGCCAAATGAGAAAATGAACATGGAAAACCATTCTTGTTCAACCTACATGTATTTATTTTCAGTAGACTACAGTATTCTTTCTTATTTTCTCTTTTTATTCTCTTTCTCTCTTCTTTATTCTGTAATTGTGCATTTTTTTTAAATTGGCACATCTCCCTATTTTTTACCTAACATGTTATACTTTCTGTTGTGGCTTCTTCAATGTTTCTTTTTTCTCCCTCTTCCTAATTTGATTGTTTTCTTTTGCCTTCTTGGTTTCTTCTTATCTTTTGGTACGTCCACTGCATGTCTGTGTTTCTTTCTTCCTCTTATTTTCCTTTCTCCCCGAACTTCTTCCTTTTCACAGTATTGGAACACGGGAGGTAGTCACCCAGAAGAACTTGTGTGGCCTGGTGCCCATCCGGGATTTCAGGCTAGATCCCAGTCTTCTCTACTCTATTCCTTTATTAGCTCTAAGCCCCAATTTACTGATTGTGTGGCTATTTCTGAGCATTGCATACCTGGTGGCCAGATTACGTTGCAAGTGAAGATGAGTTTATAAATAAAGCAAAAATCCAATGAAGTGCCAGAATATTTATTGCCACCTGGTACTGATTTGTTATAAGAATGTCTCATAGCATTGTCTGCCAAGAATAATTATTATTATGCCTTACAATTTTTTGTTTCTATTGTACTAAACTTGTAAATACACATCAAATTATTTTATGAAAAGAAATTGTATTGAACGCTTAAACTGTTGTTACGCTTTCAATGCTTGTAACAGTCTGAGAGCAGCTTGTTACCTCGGTACTTTAGTTGACCTGAAAATTAGTTTCTCGTACCAAATATTTTTCAGACATCCAAGTTTTGAGTCTCTTACTTTCTCACTCTATGGATATATGCAGTTTTGTTTCCCATGTTTCATGAGAGGAACTCTGTCTAAAAAGAATTTGTATCTTTTTGTATCTTCTTAAAAGTGTATCAATCTTGCCTTTCATATTTATGTGATATGAGAAAAATGTGAGGGTTTGTAACATGTTTATCTGAGCAACTATATTTAAACACCTTTCTATTTTGATTTCCAAGCATAACCTCTATATTATTATACTGATCAAATCTTACAGCCATTTACTTGTTTCTTTCCCATAGTTAAATCTATTCCAATATATTCTACCAAATTTTAAAAAGAACTAACTTGAATGGCAGTATACTGCATGCAATATACTTTCAGTATATTTATATATCTAGTTTTTTATTATATCAAAAAGGGAAGAGTATGTAGAAAGAATGGCTTACTAATCAGCTTTAATCCCATTTAAATCTTCAGAAAAAAATATTTTTACAGTATGTGTGATATCACTGTATGTTAATACTGACATTAAATATTATCATAAATGATGCACTAATTAGCTCTTTCAACTCATTGTTAAAATATTTGAAAGATGCTAACCTACATCAATGAGTGTCCCCAGAAAATTCCTGTAATACTTCAGTGGGAAAAGGAGAATAATCATATAATTTCTAGCATCATTATATTTATTTTCTCAAATGTGCATACAGTAACATTCAGACAGCTTTTATGACTATTAACGCTAAATGTATGATTTTCTAGATAAAATCATTGACTATTAGTAATAGTTATATGTCTTCAAGAATTTTAAATGTCATGCTTTATTGTCCTACATCCCATGAATACTAATACGTTGGATCACATTGATTTTGACTGTCGGCATAAGAGGTGGAGTCTTACTATTGCATTTTATGGAGTGATTTAAATGTTAGCAGAACGGCATTGGAGCTGCTTTCTCCATGGCTTAATGCTCTGGTGCTCCAGAATATTTCTAGGAAGCATTTTGCTTATTTCACAGGCCGACTAGATGGCAGGGAGACAGTTGTAGGGAATTGCATGGGGTACGAGTGCGATTTTGACAGGCATTGCCAGAATAGTGTGATCCACCCGTGCGGGAGCTGCAGCCTCACTATTCAAGTAATGATAAGAGCAGTCCAATCTTCAGACTAATTAATTAGAAAAAACTGCAAAGTTTTTGCGCCCAAGCTTAACATACTATGTTGCTAATCCACATGGAACATGCTCTCCACAGCCCTCTTTCCTTTTCCTGGCTGACAGAACCTTTTGCCCTGTACATTGAACATTATCATTGCATCTGTTAATTATCAATGTACTACAAATTTTTAACATAAGATGGGTGGACTAGTAAATTTTGTGGGCTTGTTTGCCAAAATCAGCTATCGTGTGCTCCTCTTCCGGATCATCTGAAAAATTAATGGAGCGCTTCCTATATGTGCAGCACTTTGTGTGAACACTAGGGTCCAGAAAAACACAGGATTAAGTGCTAGTGCTCATCCTGTATAATATAAAGTAAGTTGAGCACACTAAACATACTAAAGCATACATTTATACTTTTCTCATGTAAGACTGCTAAATCAAAAAAGGTTTCCAAATTGTTCTTACATATATTACATTTTTCATTTGAAATTTTCTGCTTTCAAATGGGAACCTAAATAGTATGAATGGTAATCACTAGAGGTACATTAATTACTTGAAGGTTCTAGTAGAGTGTCTTAAAAGGACTATGAAATCACTTGAAGTCAATCTGTATAAAATTCTATATATTATAGATCACCAATTAAGTTTAATTCAGTCAGTCTCACTTTCATAAGAATATCAGCATGGCCCATAAATGGTAAAATAGATTTAAGTACTCTGATTTCAATATGGGAGAATGAACAATCCATTTAATACTCCTGCTGAAATCAAAAGAACTTTCCGAAAGAGCTTGTTTGACTGGATCTTGTTCTACACTGATAATGGAATAAATTTTTATAAATAGAAATCCCAGTGCACCTTGGAAACAAAGCAGCTATAGTTTGACCAGGAGCATGTTAAATGTCGCTGTCCCTAGTTGTCAAAACATGAATAAATAATGTCTCAGCCATATGTTTGCCTAGTCTTGTCTTACACTTGCTCGCTCGCATGAAGCCACTTTCATTAATCTTCTACGTTCAAAGGAACCAAAAAGGGGGAGGGGGATATATTTTGATGGTCTACATTTATTTATATGAATCAGCATTAGATGCTTCCATGTACAGCTGCTTTTTAGTGCTCTCAGGTTTATATAAATTAAATGGCCTTTGCAATAGATGTGGGTTTATTATATAAAAATGCAATAGAGTTCAGAGCTGGATAGTAAAATCCCTTATTGTAGTGCTACCTTTCACAGCAAAAGTGAGTTTGGCCACAGTAGATAACTGTGAGATTTTATAGTGCTGGTCTCTTAACTATAAGTTGATGGAGCATGCTCGTCTCCAAGTTTTTTCTTCCATTTCTGGAAATTATAATTAGAAGTGGAACATATGTGACAGTAGAGCATGGCTAAAGTGAAAAGAGGAATGGGGTGGGAATTGGCATTGGTGAAAGCTGAGGAAGACAGTGCACAAGCTCTTCTTCGTTTTTTAGTTTAGGAGATTAGCAGTATTATACCTGCAATAGGTAGATGTGAGGAAAGGCTACAAACCTAACTTTTGAAAAGAACAAGTATATGATAGATGGTTGCACATGAAAAAATGTTTTCAGGCAACCAATAGTACTAGTTGATATGTTTTTCAAGCATACTATTTATGCATGACATGTTATCCACTTTTTCTAACCTTTTGTTGCTAAACTGATATGAATAAATAAAGTTATTGAAAAGCATTTATTTAGGGAATAGTATTTTCTTTCAGCATTAATAACTAGTGTCTCTGCAATGGAATGACCTAAAACTTCATTAATTACTTGGGAGCACTGTAGATATAAATGTTCTTTGTGAATAGATGTACTGCTGCTTTTTAGATTTAAAACTAGCAAGTCAACATAGCATGTTCGATTTCATGTGCATCATCATTTAGTGATTCACTGCTTTTAATATTTGCAATGGCAAATTATTGAAGCACTTCATTATAGTTAAAATATTTAGGTTTTCTCACTTTTCTTTGTTTTTGTTTTTACTGCTGTCATTTTTTGTGCTTGTCTTTTTCCCCAGTGAGGGTTGTCGAAGAGAAAATACAATGAAGAATGTTGGATGTCGCAAGTATGCATTTAATTCTCTGCAGCTGAAGGCTTTCCCCAAGTATTACAGGCCTCCTGAAGGAACTTATGGAAAAGTTGAATCATAAGATTATTATGTCTTGTAATTAGTTGTTCCATTAAAACACGTGAATACATTCAACTTTAGTATTTGAACTTTGACAACAATGTCAGAAACAATTTTTGTATGTTTCACTAGGTAATTCTGAGCATGTAATTTTATTAAATTGGATTCTATAGGAAAAGATTATTTGCTGACCCCAATGTAATGTTATGTAATGACTTCTCATGTAACTAGCCATCAGTGTATGTAAGATGCTTGAATACCATTGTTTTATTACCTAGATGCCTATCAAGGGACTATCAAGGATTTTATGAATGATGTTTGGGCAGCTGCTTCACTCATCTTTTTATATAGATTTACTTTAAAATTTAGACTTTCATATTACTTTTTAAAACCTCAGAGTTGTAAATAATAAACAGGTTTGTCGTGATACAGTTTGACAAGTACAAGAGGCAGGAGAAAATTAAGCCCAGTTTTTAAGCCATGGCAGCACAGTAAATAGGAGCTTAAAATGTTTTGCTTTATTAGAACACTATCAAACCAGGGGGGTGGGGGGTAATATAAAAGGCCAGAAACTGACATAACACCCACTTCTGCTTGGTTCAGAAGCTGGAATGGACCCTTGATTATTTAATTTCACCCAATAAACTTCTGTTTCAATGCTTTTGAGTGGTCGAGAGCTAACAAACAACATTTGTAAGAGCTAATTAGGCAAGAGATAGTTGCCCATTTAAAATAGTGCATGAGACTAGTATTGCATGAGAGTAATAGACAGAGGACTCAGGCATTAAAATGGGCAATCTTATTGGCATTATGGATCAGATAAGCAACTGCATTCTCATCTGTACTAAGTGCCAGTGAGGACTGTGTAGGCCAAGTCACGTGCATATCATCATATGTTCAATTTCCTATCAATTTGAACCTCTTTCTGCCACTCCGTTACAGCACAGTGATATTTAGTGACAGCCACCATATGCAACAGACAGAACTCTTGATTCTTTATTTTCGCACATAACAGGTTCTTAAGTGAGTTTATTTGCACAGGACTGCTTTTCCAAATATACAAGGCTTCTTCCAAGTACCTAAGTTGTTTGCTAGCTTGACAGGCTGATCCTAAGCAAAATTCAGATGTGGTTTATCTCCCTGTTCAAATATCACCACTGAAAGTGGCAGTTATTAACTATAAACTAAGGATTCGTTTCTTTCCCTCAAGTTTGTCCCTCCTCTTTTTTTAGCTGTGTCAATCTCTGTATTATCAGACTGATACACAGCTGGAAACAAATTTTCTTGAATTTTTCATGAACGCTACCAGTGTGTGTTTTGATACCAAAATGACCATTAAGGTTTAGAATAGTATTAATTTCAAACCTGACTAAAGCTCAATTCATATCTTCACCTTGGAATAAAAGGCTGTATACATGGTGGTTTTTATCACATTGGTCTCATTTAGACAGAGCTGAACCTTAAATTAGTGCTATGTGAGCAAGCCAGGGGCTTCTGTATTTGACACTCTCTTCTCTGGCACAGCCTCAAAATAGAGATTGAAAGCACTCACTTCCTGTTTGTACTGCCTTGGTGTATCATTAGATCCAAAAAGAGCAAACAGTAGTTAGATATTGGAACATGTCAGGATCAAACTGTAGCTTCCGATTGTGGCTTGTTTCAGCATACTGTAGTTTTAATGAAACAGAGTGCCCAGTCTGTATGTAACAGGAAACTAATTAGTTTAAACTTGGAAGGAGATGCCTCCAATCCTTCTACAGTTATCTCAGAAGAGGCAATGGGAGTACCAGGCCTGAGACTCACTAATGCTCATCCATTTAATGGTCAACCAATTTTTAGCCTTTTGACTGAACTGGACCACTGTCTTCAAATGAGAGATGTTCGTGAAAAGCCACTATGCATCAAATATACAGTTAGAAAAAATGATGTAAAGTACACACTTGCAGACTGTGCAGGTTTAAGTCAAAATGTGTGAATCATGATTAAGGAAGAGTAGCACACTCTTCTGTTGCCCACTAATACGTGATCAGCAGCTCTTTGTAAGGAGTCCCTGTAAACAACATATATCTAAATTGTAAAATAAGCATTAACTTTGAACTGTTTCATACTTAGTCTTTTGTAGAATTGTTTCATCCCATATACAATAGTCAAAAGATTTTCCTTTTCATTCTAAGAGTGTAATCCATTTTTTCCATTTTAAATTCCATTGATATTAGTGGGATTTTCTTATAAGTGCGTTTGATGCCATGGGCCTTCTAATGGAAATGGCAACTCTGGTTCACTTTTTTTCAACAAAAAAATGTTGCTGATTTACCCGTAACATTTTCTAAGTGTGTTTTACTTTTCCTTGGTGTTTATCACTGCACTTTTAGTTTGTGTTTAGGCCCACACAAATTTGTTTTAGTTTGGTTTTTAGCAATTTAGCACCTGAGCTGTGGTATACATGCTAACAATGTTTTTGCTGAATTAGTTCTTTATTGCTACTTCAATCTTGTTTACAGTTCCAGAATTAAGAACACTGTAATATGCATATCCTCAGCACCAAATGTAAAATTCTGTGGGCTATGTTAAATTGTATTATTGGAAAAACTCCTACTGATTTAGCAGACAAACTATCTTTTGATCAATATTAAACTTTTATTTATTCTCTGTTCACTGCCCATATATATATATTTAATGCACTTAAAGAATGTAATAAATTATATGTCAGTTTTTAAATATTATTTTGCAGGGAAGGAATAGTAAGTTATTAGAGAAGATTGCATTCATATAAGTGGTCCAATCCTAAAATATTTTACCAGCAATAAGTGTTTAGGATTGAATTTGTAGCCTGTAGCCTACATAGCATCACATGATACATCATTCTTAGTCTGTTTCAGGCATCTTCTGCAGCCCTGGAAGCTTTCCCTATTATAATGTCTCCCTGTTATTTTAAAGGGAAAGGCAAGCTCTGCATGTACAAGAGATTGTGCAAAGCTGCTTTTCCCATGCAAATAAATATGAAACGTATCTGCATTAAAGAGAGAGATGTACACCAAAAATTAATAGAACTGGCTTGGAACTGTATCAGCATTGAAAACAGCTGGTAAAGCCTTAGGTCAGGTGGTTTAGAACCAGATTTTTAGTTATATTCCCTCTAAGTTACAGTGATCCTTTATTCTACATTCCTATTAAATTACACTATTTAAGTTGCTTGTTTTTATAAAGTTGCATTCACTTCAAGGAGGCCCTGGAGAATACATCTAGCATTACAATATTTCTCTAAATAATTTCCAAACTCATGTGCATGCTTTGCTATCCCTTTTAGCGTAGCAAAACACCAGGCTATAATCCCTTATTTAATGTGGGGAAAGGGGTCTGATATTCTAATTTGCATTCTTTTTGGCTGCTTGCCATGTGTAGACCAATCTTGTCTAGCTAATATTTTGTATAGACTACTATATATACATAGGGTTCCAAGATGGACAGGCTGAATAAAGCTTGATCAAAAATGGGAAACCCATGAAACCATAAATCCATATAGGAAATGTCATATGAGTAGATTTTTTTACTGTTTTGTTTTTGCACAGAAAAGGCATTCTTAAGATTTACTATAACATGAAGCTCAAGCTAATACTGTTTTTCAGTACATTTTTTTAAAAAATGAAAAAATGCCAGAGGGGTTTGAAAGAAGGTGCTGCCAAGTATGTTCTGTGTATGTTTTCTGAAACACTCGCAGCACAATTGACTTTGGGTTTCATTTATGTATGTAGAGCTATGGTAAATAGAGCACAGTTTGTCGCAACACAGTTGTATTTGCCAAGCTTTGTGCATTGAAGTTTTATTATTTATTTGTTTGGGGGGCAGTATTAATAATACCATAAATATATGGTTACTGTTTTATATAGTCTTCATTCGTCCAATCCATGTATGCTGTAAATGTGCTAGTCTTTAGGGATTAAAAAATAAAGAACTGACAAGAATGTTGACATGACTTTTTTTTTAAGACTGCAAAGGATGTCGCAACTTTCAAGGATTTAGGCCATACATTTGGTTATACCTACTAGACTTGACTAACTAGAGATTACACAAAGAAGCAAAAATAGCCTGTTAACCATAAGAAAATGACTAATATCCATGTTGGTGTAATACCTTAATTAGGTAAATCAAAAGATCACAAATGTGGGTGGTAATGAAAAGCAGACAAAGTAAACAGGACTAGGCTGGATTACCTTTGCTTTTTATTTTTGTGAGACTGAGAGTATTTTGTTTAGCTGGCCTTCAGCAGGGTTCTATGGTGGAGGAGGATGGATTGTATCCCACCATAAGCTGTGGCTTGGTTTTCAAGGTGTTCATACTCTGCAGCTGCTAAGGAGCGCAACCCAGTTAGGCTGCAAATGACTTATATTACCTGGAGCTAAAATTATCTCCTGTGAGGTTAGTACCCGCTCCACTGACTTGGAAAATTTCACTCATTCCATGGCCCTGATCCATCAGAGCATCATGGAGCAATTTTCTGAGCCCTCAACTGACACTGCATATTTTGCTCCCTAACTTGGGACAGGTGTTGTGAGGACTGCTTTGCCAAATAGCGTGCATTTTGTACCACTCCACTGACTTTCAGATTTCACACATTCTGGAGCCCTGATCCTTGGGTGGGCCTCATGGGGCAATTTTCTCAGCCGCATACTTCACATGCCTGGAGACCCTGACTTACAAGGGGTGTTGTGGGACCCGCCCTGCCATATGGTGTCTCATATCCTCTGCTGACTTTTAAAATTTTGCTAATTTTGTGGCACTGACCCACCAGTGGGCATTGTGTGATAGTTTTCCTACCCTTTCAAAAACTGCATATTCCCCATGCTCTAAGGCCCTGACTTACAAAGACTGTTTTGGGGTGTACCAAAGGGTTCAAAATTCACACCATTTGTTGCGAGCAGCACCCCAGCATACCTCATAAGTTGGGTCTTTCAAGAGTGCACAAGAAGCGGTGTGGACGGAAGCTTCAGAAAATCGCTCCACAACTGCCATCTGCCAATCAGGACCGCAGAATAGTAGTGAAGAAGAGTGCTGGACAGACCTAAGACAACCAAGATGAGATGATGGAAGACCAGGGAGAAGAAGACAGCAGACCTCGAAGCATGTAAGGACATGGAGCAGGGAACAGCCTTGTTTCTGCAAAGGCAAAGAAGGGGTATAGCTTTTCAAGGCTTCAAATCAGCATGACTTGTTGACAGACTAAATGATATGGAAAACAGAAGAGTCGAAGATTAGGTCAAAGTTGCATGCCTACTCAGCAGAATGTTTAGGCATGAATGTATATAAACAGGAGGATCTGGGAGGAGAGATGAGAACTTTGTTCCTGAACACAGAATGTAAGATGAAGAATTGTTTTCAATCAAAAATATCCAAGGGGCAGCTGAAAATGTGGGATTGGAAGAAAGACAGAGTTGGTTGTCAACTGTGTACAGGGGGTACTGAAAAATACGGGATTTTAGGAGATAGAAGAGCAGGAGACAACAGATGCCCGAGGAACTGCTGCGAAAAACAAACAAACAAACGCTCCTGACTGAGACACTGAAAAACAGTCTGTTCTTTCCAGGGGTTTTTTCTGTTGCAGAATCTCATTTCACATTGTTTCCTGTGCTTTCAGACCCATGATTCTCAGAGCTTGAGGTGACTTGCATCCCTGTTCAACGAGTGGATAGTAGTGGATAGTCAATGGATTAGGGGAGAAAATATAGAGTGACACAGAGACTGTTAAGTACTGTGCAGAATTACTGTCCTTTATTCTCAAGCAATAGAAAGTAGTTAAATATGAGAGCTGTTTGCCCTTTTACTAGTAAACGGTTGCCAGTGGAACCCCTCCCCCATTTTTATGAGCTTTTGTTTCCTTAACATGCATTCATTGTGGAAATGCAAAGATGCTATGAACTGATACACTCCTGCTTCACTTTTTTTTTCTGGGGGATGGGGGGTGGGATAATAATAATAATAATAATAATAATACCTAAAATGACAGCAAGAACACTTTCAGAACCTGAAACATAATTGGGGTCTGTCTTAATGAGAACCATTAAATTGTTTTTATTTCTCTCTTGATTTTAATATGTAAAATTAAAGATGTAAACATGGATTTCCCACATAACATGTAGTTTTGGTTTTCATTTATTTTTAATCAGTGGTTTCTTCTACCTGTGTGCTGGAGATCTCTGCAATAAACATTCAACTACATCAGCAGTGAACTGGATAAATATTAACATTACAAAAAAAGTTAATGTTTATTCAGTTACACCTATTATAAAGTGTGCTAGTTCAGTGGGCTGGAAGGTAGTATCAGTCCAGAGTGCAAGAAATTTTCTGAACATACCAGGTAAGCAGAGTTGTGAAGGAAAAAATCACTAGGAGTGGTCAATAGGGGAGAGGGAAGAAGAGGTATAACTTTTTGCAAAATATCTGACTGTGGTATAATGCCATACATAGTTGATAGGATAGGTTGTACATCTCCAAAAATTTGCAATTTAACTGATAAAACTCCAGCAAATTTTTTTTTGTTTTCCTTGGCATTTTATGTTGTAAGAGTACTATGCAAAGAAAGAATAACCAGTTAATATAGCATTCCTCAACCTGATGCCCTCCAGATGTTTAGGATTAGAACTCTCAACATTCCTGACCATTGACCAGGCTGGCTGACTCTGCTGATTGAAGGTGAAGTCCAAAATATTTAGAAGGTACCAGGTTGTATGCTATGCTAATATACCAGGTTGTATGCTATGCTAATATAACTGCCCCGAGGTTTTGGCAAGGGGCGGCATAGAAATGTTATGTTATAATAATAATAATAATAAAAATAACTGAAAAAAACTGTGGAATATAAAAATAAAATCCTGATAGTGCTTTTACTTATTTTACTCTGCTCTTTAGAAGGAAGGCTCTTGGCGTGTCTGTCAGATCAGGAGAAAAGAGTTCTGGCTTCAGGCCTACAATCTAAAAGCCATCAAACAAAACAGGAAAAAAGGCATGGTTAGGAAGATGAAAACAGATAATACAATTGCCAACAGGGATGGAATTTGATTCTCAGCTCAAAGCAGATCACAGTGGACCTACAAAAAATAGCTGGGTGACTCAATTATCCTTGATGTGGTTGTAATGCATCCAGAAGTTGTTGGCTTTATAAGGCGGCCTCAGTCTTCTGAGCTCCAGCTAGAACCTGCCAGTGCATGTCCATTCTGTTGCAGCGAGTAAAGCTCCTCTAGCTCTCTATCTGTCTAAAGCTTGTGTTTACTGTCCACTACAAAATAGTCTTAGGATGGTCATACAATCAACCAAATCTATATGCATTCCAGATGATCATGCTATTCTTCCTCACAAGATAGTTCTAATTTAGTTCACTCTAATCCTTTCTGTGAAGGGGGAGGAAGGCAAGCAGAGGAAAGCAGTTGAGCGGAGATGATGGAGATGGCAGTTCAGCGCACTGATTTTCTACTTCACAGAACAGAAATATAATTGGGGAAGTAGTCTGGGAACTCCTAATGAAACCCAGCAACCCTACACTTGGCCACCCTCACTGCCACCTTTTAGCCAAGTTTTGCCTTCTGGCTGGTAATATTGCCCTCCCGCCCCTTGAGATCGGCAGCAGAGGCTCTCCTCCGGGAGCCTTCCGTGAGAGATATCAGGAAGCAAAGCACCCGGAGGAGGGCTTTCTCTGCGGTGGCGCCCCATCTGTGGAATGCGCTCCCCAGAGAGGTCCGCCTGGTGCCGTCGTTATTTGTTTTTCGGCACCAGGCCAAGACCTTTTTATTCAAACAGTATTTTAATAATCTTCAATATTTATAGTTTTAATTATGCAGCCAGTGTGTTTCCAAGTTTTAATTGTAATTCTATTTGTTTTATTTATTTGTTGTTGTGAGCCATCCCGAGGCTGTGTAGCAATGGGGATGGCATATAAAAACTTAAATAAATAAATAAATAAAATCTAAACAGCCCAGCACACCAATTTGAGCAGCAACACATAAGTATCATGAGCTCCCAGATTTAATATAATGTATGTTTCTATTTAACTGTTGGTTAAGATAGTGGTAATGCATTATGCATTCTCCATGAGACACCTTCAATATGAGATAGGAAGGAAGTAATGAGCTTTTTTTCCTTCTGCAGCATCGGGTTGGAGTTCTTTATATAGGAATGTTCATCCCCTGTAGACCCAATCCAATAATAGATTAACAAAACAAGCAATGCAGAGGTTAGGTGGACTTTGCAGAGGTCTTGCCAACTAAGCTTCCAAGATGTGAGATCTGCCTGAATGCCAGATAAACTTTTTTAAAAACCATACTCAGCAAATCTTCTAAAAAGGAAACAGAATGGCATGCAATAAAATCTTTTCAAAAATTAGTAATAAAAGGAATAACGGAGCGTGTGAGATAACCATCATGATCCCTCAGTGTTTTCTTTCCTGGGATCTCCCATACCAGTACTTTTGTCATTGGATACTTTCAGTTGGACAGCCAAAAAAACAACAGGATACAATAACGAAAGCTGCACCAACTTGAAAGTGGCCACGGAGGCATGTCTTTTTGTTACCTTCCTGGAATGCAGATTTGCCCTAAAACATTGCCCACTGAAGACGTCACAGTTCCTGGAACAAACCCCAAACGTGCAGTGGTGGCACCGGCGTCGGCGGCCCATCCTGGCATTTTGCTGGCCCTGCAGCTGCCCCCTTGAGTTCCTCTCCAGCCTTTCCTTTCAGCCTCCGCAGCCCTACAACCTCGAAAGCCGCTACGACTGTCCTGGTCTTTGAGCGTAGCTACCACAGCAACCGCGCCAGTCTCGACTCTGTCCATACGCAAACTGGCGGCGGCACGTGATTGGTCAACCCGCTTCTTGTCAGTGCCGGGACCGTTTGCTGCGCTCCCAGGAGAGAGCTGCGACGATCGTGACAGCAGGTAGGAGGCGGGGCTGGAGGGGGGTCGCGGGAGGAGGGCTGTCATTCGTTGGGAGGGCGGGCGGGTCGTTGCTCGCCTTCAAGCACCGCCCACCGTCCGCGCGGGGGCCGCTACGAAGACCTCGTGGCTCGCCGCGCCGTTAACCTGCCCGCGTGCCTCGCGTTCTCTGCCTTGCCTGGGCCTGCTCAGCCCGATCCCTCGAGCATGTCCCGGCACCGTGCTGAGGAAGCAACATGTGTAATGAAGTCCATAAACTGGACAAAAGCAGCGAGTGTCAGTGTCGTCAGAAGGAACGAAGGTCCTTGAAAAGGCGTGTTTTGGATCGACCTTACACAAGTTTCCAGGCAAAAAGCCTCTTCTGCTGTCAGTAAATCGGCCTTATGATCAGCGCTGCAAGAACTGTCCCTTTCCTGAGAAGGCTGCTGTGTAACAGGTGGGGATTCAAAAGGCAGGGCTCCCGGGTGTCATTTTAAAAAACGAAATGTTACCTTAAAGTTTGTTTTGGTTTTCTCCATAGATGTTTCCACAGTGGCTTGCAGCACAATAGCAGAAATTACAATATCGAACAGTTCCAAAACCTTTTTGGTGACATAGCCATCCACTTCCTAATGAAGTACCCCGAATGTTGGGTGGGAAAAGATACTGTCTCAGAACTTCTCCATGTGAATTTGCAATTTTTTTCATTGTGGTTTAAGAACTGAACCTTACAGGCACAGAGTTAATTTTGCAGTTTTAACTGACAAAGAAATATAAGAAGGTGGAGAGCAAGTTCATCGTGGCATTGGTTTGCACGATGTAAAACAAACAAGAACGCATCTCATGCGTCAGTCATCGTTTTCTGCTAGCAAACAATGATCGCTAGATGGGATTGGTCACACTCTTATGTCGTATTATACTTAGCAATCAAATGACAATTTAACCATGTTGTTTATTGCCATTAGTAATTGGTTCCTATATCTGAAGTGTTCCTGCCTCTCTTTGGCTGAACACCACTTGATCATTCCTCTTCCTTGCTCATTCCAACTTCCTTGTTATTTGTTACATTCTTGTCCTAATGCACTCCCAGTCTTTGTGACTTATGGGTTTCTAAGAACATAAGAAAAACCATGCTGGATCAGACCCATGGTTCATCTAGTTCATACAGTGGTAACAGGATCCCACAAGAAGGATGTAAGTACAAGTTCCCAAGCCACTGGCATATTGTCCCTGATATAGGAAATTAGCATATAGCCATCTAGTAGCCACTGATAGCCTTCCCTTCCATGATTTTTAAAGCCCCTTTTAAAGCCACCCAAACTGGTGGTCATCACTACATACTGTGAACATGAACTGCATAGTTTAACTGTGCATTGCATGAAGAACTATTTCCATGTATTTGTTCTGAATCTCCCACCGATTGGTTTCATGGGATGACCCTGAATTGTAATGTCTCCTTATCCACTTTTCCACACTAGGCACAGTTCTTAAGCACCTCTATGATGCCTCCCCTTACTTGCTTTTTTTCTAAGCTAAACAATATCAGGTGATATATGCTTTCCTCATTAGGGAATTGCTCCAAGCCCTTGATCTTTTTAATTGTCCTCTGCTTTTTTCCAAAAGGAAAAATGTCCCTTTTCAGGTGCAGCAACCAGACAATATTCCTAGTGCATTTGCACCATAGTCTTAGCCCTCCGAGACCCCTAAATTGGGATATAGGCTGCAGTATATAAGTTGATAAATGATTATGTAAGGATAGAATAATGTTGACACTTTTATTTTCTATTCTTTTCTAATAATGCTTAAAATGGGTTTGCCTTTTTCAGAGCAACTGTGCATAGAATTGACCTTTTAACTGAGTTGTCAACCACAATCCTAAGATCTCTTTCTTGGTTTGTCTTGCTAGCTCAGATCCCAACAATTTATGTGTGAAGTTAAGATTATTTATTTCTTTTGCTACAAAGTACATTTCCCTTTGTAAATTTTGATGTGCTTTCGCACATAGCTTAACCTAAGCCCTACTGTCACTATGTTCTTGCAGGTTTTTATTCCTTCTGACATGCCCATGCTGACTCTGTGCTGTCATCTCATGATCCGCATACACGTTTGTGCATGCCCATGCACACGCACATGTGCATGTACATGCATGTGTACAGTTCATATGTACCTTGAACTTCCTGTAAGCTTAACCCATCTACCATTGATATAATGAAGGAGGGGCATGGGTGAGTTGGGTTTTGCAACACACATAGAGAAAAATCCAATTGGACAATAGCATTAATGTCAATTATAATGTTAACTTATGCAACTGGCTTTCCAGGGAATCCTGTCAGGCCACCTAATAATATTGGTGTTGCACCAGAGGTCCATTATGCTTGCACAATGTAATTTCCATTATAACTTATGTCTAATTAGATACAATTAATTGAGTCAGCGCTCCATTGTTGTTGGTACGCTCACTTCTTGGTCACATCTGTTATGAGTATTGTTTGTCTAAATGCTTTGTGTTACTTTTCATAGACATTGCTGAAATGAAGAAACTTCTGCTCATTGATTTGGACTGTGGTGTGGATGATGCTCAAGCTCTAATGATGGCTCTAGCATCTCCCAGTGTTGAAGTCCTGGGGATTACTTGCTGTTATGGAAACAGTGTGTTGGAAAATACATGCAGAAATACACTCCGTGTTTTACATGTTTGTCACAAACTTGAGGTAATTTTGAAACAGATTTTTGCATGGTAGTATCATGTGGGGCCCATAAAGTAAGAAACTGGCATCTTGATCCTACTTACACTTTGCACATTATAGCAGTGCGGCTATAACTGTGATCTCAAAAAATGTGGGTGCTTCACAGAATAATTCTATGAATAGTAATCCCTGCAGCCGTTATAACTGTAAAGAGACATGGCTTGTTAGATGTGTTTTGGTCTGTCTTTCATTGTTGCAGTGGAAGTTATTATCAAGTAATCAAGTGTGTGCAGAATATCAGATTAAGGTGAGTTCCTTAATGGATTGCATTTAAGGTCTGCCTTCTGTGGACAGATGGTCTTGGCTTCTGTTGAAAAATGCTAATTTAGTCATAACTTGGGTTAAATCAAACAATTGAAGATTTGCTAGTTGATACAGCAGAATCAGTATTTCTTAAATATGATATTGACACCATTCTCTTGTAACAGATTCCGGTTTATCGTGGTGCATCTGCCCCAATACTTGGTGGACCTGTGCTGGGGGCATTTTTTCATGGAAAAGATGGATTGGGTGATGTCCCAGATCCCAGTGCTCCAGGATTAGACCTTCTACAGGAAGAGCATGCTGTGACTGCCATATTAAGAATAGTCAACGAGCGACCGGGTCAGGTGATACAGATATCTTAATTATATAACAGATTAGTATTATAAGATCTCAAGAAAAGGCTTGCTGAATCAGACTAATGGTCTATCCAGTCTAACAATCCATTCACACAGTGGCAAACCAGCTGTCGACAGAATCACTCAAGAAGGATCGGGACAAGAGTTCCAACTGCTTTGGTCACTCTAGCGGATGGTCTATGACTCAAAATGAAAGGGGTAGCATTGGTTCTGTTGGATTATCGGTGCCCTTCAATACTATCAATCGTAGTAGCCTCAATCATCTGAGGAAGTTGGGAATCAGTGCCACTGCCTTGCAGTGATTTCTTTCCAACCACTTGGGCTGTGATGCTTGGAGACTGTCATTCCTCCAAGAAGGAGCTGACTTGTGAAGTCCTCCAGGGCTTCATTTTGTCTCCAATGCTGTGTAACATCCACATGAAGCCGCTGGGAGAGATCATCAGGAGAAAAGCATTGAGTGTTATCAGTTTCCTGATGATACCCAGCTTTATTTCTCCTGGGGTCTGCTTCTTCTTCTAGAGACTGTGTCTTCTCTCTCAATGACTGCCTCAGGCTGCTAATGGGCTGGATGAAACAAAACAAACAAAAAAGTTGAATCCAGACTAAATGGAGGTGCTAGCTGTTAAGGGTTCAAATCCAAGATTAGAGGGATGTCAACTGGTTCTAGATGGGGTCACACTTCCTCTGAGAGACCATTTTCACAGTTTGGAGGTGCTGCTTGAACAGGCCCTTCAGATGTCAGCACAGAGTGAAGCTGTGGTCAAAAGTGTCTGTTGTCAGTTTTGGCTGATTTGCCAACTGCATCCTTCCTGGTAGAAAATGACCTGAAAACCATAGTGCACACACTGGTAACTTCTAGGCTTGATTTCTGCAATGCACTCTACAGAGGGCTACCCTTGTGCCCACTCTGGAAACTGCAACTAATAAAAAACATGGCAACCGGGTTGGTCTCTGGGACTGCATGCAGAAACCATATATTGCCAGTATTAAGGTCTCTGAACTGGCTGCTGATACATTTCCAAACAAAGTGCAAAGTTGGTAGTTATCCTTAAAGCCTTCATGGCTTGGGTCCAAATTACTTTCAGTAGTGCCCTTGTCCACACAGTCTGCTTTGTCTGCTAAGGTCCACTGGAGATACTCTTCTGAACTCTGCTTCCATAAGATTATTATCAACTACACAGAGGAAATTCCCAGTGGTTGCACCTAAACTGTGGAATGGCTTGCTGGGAAAGATGAATCAGATATCTCAGACTGCTACCTTTGAGAGGTAGTTAAAGGTGTATCTTTTCCAACAGGCTTCCCAGATTAGTTCTATTTGATTTTCTACTTTAAATTAAAATTATTGTTGGTTTTAATCTCTTGTAAACTGCCAGAGTCTAAGGAAATGGGGCGGTATATAAAAATCAAAATACATTTATACAAAAATAAACTGCCCAAGCTTCCCAGCAATTGGTGTGTGTGGGCATGCTGCCCTTGATAACGGAGGTAGCACAACCAGCAAGGCTAATAGCCATTGGTAGCCATCTCCATGAATCTGTTCAGTCCCCCTTTAAAGCTAACCAAAGTGGTGACTATTTCCTGTGGCAATGAATGCCATAGTTTAACTATGTAGTGTATGAAGAATACTTCTTTTCATCTTCCACAAATCAGCTTTGTGGGATGACTCAGTTCTAGAATCATGGGAGATGAAGAAAAATGTCCACCATTTATCCACACCATGCATAATGTCACCACATCTATCATGCATCCTCTTACTTGCCTAAACAATCCCAGTTGTAGCTGTTCCTCATAGGAGAGTTGCTCCAATTCCTTGATCATTTTAATTGCCCTTTGCTGCAACTTTTCCAACTCAATAATGCCTTCAACTCAATATTTTTCAAATAAGGGGATTAGAACTATACACAATACTCTTAAAAGCAATTGCGTCAAGATTTATATACAGGGTAGTGGCAGTTCTAGTTTCAGTTCCTTTCCTAATTATGCTTAAAATGGAATGTGCCCTTTTCAAAGCAGCTTGTTCACTGGGTTACTTGACATTTTAATTGAGCTGTCTGCCAGAGCCCCAAGATCTATTTCTTCCTCAGCCAATGCTAGCTCAGATCCCATCAGCCTATACTTGAAGTTGGAATTTTTTTGCCCCAATACGCATTTCTTTACAATTTACACGATACATTACATAATAATTTACACTGTAATAGGCTAATATCCCTTCCTTATCATGATATGCCAGGATATGAGAGCCAGCATTGTGTAGTGGTTACGAGCACAGGATTGGGACTCAGGTGATCTGGGTTCTAGTCTTCTCTCACAGCCATGGAGCCAACTGGGTTATTTTGGGGCCAATCACAGACTCTCAACCCAACCCTCCTCACAGGGTTGTTGTTGTGGAGTTAAGATTGATAAGATTGTGGGGTTAAGATTGATAGCAGGAGGAGGGGAACTATGAACTTTGAGTTCATTGTAAGAAAAAAGTCGGTTATCATTGAAATAAATAAAAAATAGATATGTTGGTAATCCCTTCCAAGCCAAACTTTTAGCACTTCTGCTAGAACAGCAGCTTGACTTGAAGAGGACAGACCTAGTTAACCACAGAGGAGTTGTCATACAAGATAATGTAACAGTATATGTGTGCATGTGTTCAGGATAACTTGGAAAATTACTGTCATGTGTCTTATAGGTTTCTATTGTTGCTACTGGTCCCTTGACAAATTTAGCCCTAGCTGTGAAAATGGACCCATTGCTTCCTGAGAAACTTAAAAATGTGTTCATCATGGGAGGGAATACTGAATGTAAGTGATCTGAGGACAGTTTCTTAAGTAAGTGTACTCCAAAAAGGCATGTTCCTTCATACTTCACAAGTGATTTGCTTTTTAAATAATATTATCTGCTGAGTGATGCTGTGTGGTCATATCAACTCCTCTGTGGGGCAGATCCTTTTCAGTTGCTATTTTTAATATTGTTTATAGTAGTTTTCGTTAGCATATTTGTAACTTATCTGTGGGGGACTGCAGGTGGCACAGTGGTTTAAACCGCTGTGCTGCTGTGCTGGTAGATCGAAAGGTCGCCAGTTCGAATCTGCACAACAGGGTGAGTTCCCATTGCTCCATCCCAGCTCCTGCCAACCTTGCAGTTCGAAAGCATGCAAATGCAAGTAGATAAAAAGGTACCCCTTCGGTGGGCAGGTAACAGCATTCCGTGCACTTCGGTGTTTAGTCATGCCGGCCACATGACCACGGAGACCGTCTGCAGACAAGCGCTGGCTCCCTCAGCTAGGAAACGGAGATGAGCATCGCCCCCTAGAGTCAGGCATGACTGGACTTAATGTCAAGGGGAAACCTTTACCTTTTAATCTTATGTGTAAGCTGCTTTGAATGGATTATTATCCTGGATAAATAGTTGTAATAATCATTAAAATGTTTTAATGATTACATAAATCACTAAAGTGATGTCGATTTGAGAGTTTTGTCTTAGTAGAAAATGACTTTGTTTTTTTTACAAATTGATTTCAGAGAAATTTGACTTATTAATCTTGGTCTGAAGGTAACATGCCTTTCTTTTCTGTGAACAGTTTCTTTTCTTTTCTGTTTTGGGGGCATTTTAAAATGTTTTCTGCAGAAAAGCTAAGAGCATACTTCTATAAATGTCTTTTTAGAGGTCTAATTGTTTTAATTGGAACCTATTCTAAGGTAAGTATGCATAGGATTACAGCCTAAATTATATTTTAAAGAATTGTTATTAAGTATTCTGATGAAGCAAGATATGACTCTGGCAATGAGCCAAAGAAGTAATTAAGGCATAAGAAAAATTATGAGCGCACACTGCAGGAACTTCATTTCAGCTATGCTTATGAGAAAGTCCCATTTCTAAGGAGGCCAGTCATCTGCACAATTTAAAAATATGGGGCTGCTTCTTCAGGAGTTAAAGCTTTTGCAGGAAAAGAAAACAAACTTCAAAGGAAACTCCAGCTACAATCAGTACCCAAACATAAATTATTTATATAGCTATGGATACTTCAGAACTGACATTTCGCTCTCTACATGAGTCATGTGCTGGAAAGCTGGGATGGGGGTAGGTTCCCAGTGCACAAAAATAGATAGATTTCAGCCTCCAAGAAGCAACCTGAGGCAAGTTACAATTATTTTTTAAAAAATCAGATCTAAATTGCCAAAAAGATGTTTTAGAAGCATGGGCCTGATGTTCACCTCTGGCAATGTACCCTGTTTCCCCGAAAATAAGACCTATCCCAAAAATAAGACCCAGTACTATTTTTGGTTCTTGCTAAAATAGAAGACCTACCCCAAAAATAAGACCTAGCTGTGTTTATTCCCAGGGCCAGTGGGGAACATAAAGAGTCTTTCTAAACTTTATTTTTTAGCTTAACTTTAACTTGATGCACTGTGTGGAGGCAAAATGCTTATGCAGCTCTGTTCCCTGCGGAGGGAGCTGAGCCGCATAAGCCGATGCTTCCTCTGTAGCGCCGGCTCCCGTCACAGGGGAGTGATACCAAATGTACATGTATTTGTGCTGTTGTACATGAATAAGTGTGGGTTGTTGTACACATTAAAAATTAAAATAAACAATAAGACCTACCCTGAAAATAAGACCTAGTGTGTTTTTGTGAGCCAAAAAAAAAAAAAAAGGCAGTGTCTTATTTTTGGGGGAAACACGGTGCATGAGCATAGATTTTGATCCTACACCTGTATGGATAACATGAAGCATCTCCAGAGCAAAGTAAATCAAACAGTTGTACATTACAGCAACCAATTGTTGTTTCTTATAGCCAGGGGAAATGTTACAGTCTGTGGAGAATTCAATTTTGCAACGGATCCGGAAGCTGCTTACATTGTCTTAAATGAATACATTTGCCCAGTTTATATTGCAGCATGGGAGTTTACATGTTCCTGTCAACTTTCCTGGGTAAGATATTAAGTCTGCAATCCTGTTGTCACTTACCTGCAAGTAAAGCTCTGTTGAACTCAATGGGACTTACTTCTGAGTAGAAACACAGGCTTGTTCTGGAAATGTCTGTTAATGTAGGCTAGTATTTAAAGAACCACTTAAGTTTGTTCTAGCACCATGATTGCTTTTTATGTTGGTTTTCATATCCTGGTATTGAAACAATATTAAATTGGTCAGCTAATACGCAATCTCCCATGAAGGCACTGCAGGCATCTTTTTGTGAAGTCAGCAGGACTGAACTGATGCAGCATGTGGAGAAATGCACTTTGATTCCCTTTTCACCAATTTTAGAGATAATTAAGCTTCTTCGTTGTCTCTGCACACCACTGTCTTTCTCTAGTTCTCTATAATATGCCTTGTTTCTTCCTTCTTTTTCAATTTTCTGCAAGTACTGTTCATGCTGCAGATGTCTCAGTCAGTGTAATCAGTAGTCTTCTGTGCGTTCACACGTGACTTAGGTGATGACACACCTTTCCCAACAATGCAGTGCAGCAAACTTCTGGAGAACAGTTGCACAGCTTTATTAAACAAGTAGCAGATACATCTGGGGCTGAGACTCACAAGCATAGGACTGACTGAGGCAAGGGGAAGAACACAGAAGTAAGCCCTATTTATTGAGTTATGGGAAATTATCTTACTTGCCTTTTCCTGCAAGCCCTGAGACAGAACATTCATTCATTCATTCATTCATATATGCGCTATTTACCTTTCAGGAGAAAATGCCTTCTGGATCTTATTTATTCCCAGGCTCACTGTTTCTCATGTTTGCTTGACAGTAAATCTCACTGTCTTCAATGGGTCTTATTCCCAGATAGGTGTGCATAGAATTGTACCTGGAATTGCTGATTTAATACAATTGTTTATCCTCAAGTCTGCAATCTTATAGACACATGCCTGGGAAAAATCCTATTGTACTCAGTGAGGTTTATGCCTGAATAAACATGTGCAGAATCAGACATGTATATCAACAGAGCTTATATTTGGTTAGACATATATATGACCAGTGCTTTTTTTGTAAAAAAAAAAAAAAAGGTGCAGGAACTCACGTCGTTGGGGCAGTAAGCACACACACCAATTCCAAGCCAAGCAGCCTCTGGAGCAGCTATCTCTCACGATCTGATAGCAGATACAATAGCAGCCTGCAGGCACTATGTTAATGATGTTTGCTGCTGATCTGCTAGCCGAAATCACTTCGTAAAATCCATTGAAAAAAAAGTGCCGGAACGCTGTTCCGGTGCGTTCTATGACAAAAAAAAAATGCCCTGTATATGACTGTGAAAGTTTGTTTTCTTAAGGGCACAATCCTAGGTAGAGTTAAACATAAAAGCCTTACAACTGCTGGCTGGAGAATGCTGAGAGTTAATAGAAGCTTTTGTATAAACATCCATAGGGTTGTACCCTGGGTGTGCTTTAAATCCATGTGGAAAAAAGCGAGCTGCATTAGTTTTCATTTTCATGAACCTTTTAAGGCCATCATAATTTCTGTAGTGGTTTCTGCACTTTCCTGCTAAAAGGTACCTACTGCAGTTTAAGCGCGCGTGCGTGTGTGTGTGTGTGTGTGTGTGTGGAGAGAGAGAGAGAGAGAGAGAATGTGGAATCTCTTCAATAATACACTTTCTTAATTGGTGCCAGGGTGTAACAACGGGAAGATAAAATTTTGTAATTTATTTTCCTGCATTGGCTGAGAATACTGGTACTTTGTTTTAACATAAATCCCTTGCAGTAGAAAATATGTGCAAGTTGTTTTACATTAAAATAACTCAACAACTAACACTTGTGAATTTTGCCCTGGACTAACATTTTATCATTATTATAATTCTTGTCCACTAGATTTATGTACACTAAGATACTGTAAAATTTTCACAATAGCCCTTAAATGATAAAAACCCAGCAATTGGATGTTAACATTTCCTTAGGTTCCTGGCTACATCATGCAGCTTTCAACTTTGCAAATTAAGTTTCTGCTCTGAGATGCCGGACTTGACCATTCATTCATTCATTCATTCATTCATTCATTCATTATTTATTTTATTTAAAACATTTCTGTGCCGCCCCATCGCAATAAACCTCAGGGCGGCTCACAACATCAAAAAAGTCAACCATACATTAAAACCCCCAATACAATAAACCCCCCAGTACCATAAAACCTCAATAAAACCTCAGTGCATTCTCGGCTAAAAAACAAACAAACAAACCTAGTTAAATAAATAAATTAACAATTAAAATAAGTTTTAAATGAAAAGGTCTTAGCCTGGCGCCGAAAAGCAAATAAAATTATCCATATTTTCTTTAACTGTATTAAATGTGATCACCCTATTCTATACAAAGAAGTTCAACATCCTCACGACTCTGTATTTCCCTCCAAATCTGCTAAAAATCATTAATGAAGCCTCAATGGAATGTGACTAAACCTGGAGACAATAATACTGGAGATGAACTCTCCTTATATTAATTTCAAACTTTTCATGTAACTCCTTGTGGGGCCAAATTGTTTATAGTGATCAGAATTTCTCTTTATTTTGCAGGAGTTCTATGATGAATGGGTTAATCAGAATACCGAGAAAGCCCAGTTCATGAAGAAAATATTTGCTCATTCTGTAGATATCATAAAGTCTTCCAGTAGCAAAGCAGGCAGGAAAGAATGGAACTCAGGGTTTGTTTCTTGTGATTCCTATGCAATGGCTGCTGCCATAGATGAGAGCTTTCTCACAGAAGTCACAGAAATTGGTGTAAGTGTTGAGCTGAATGGTTCATTAACTAGAGGAATGATGATCATGGACTGGACTGACAAATTGGAAAAGGAAAATAAAGCTTTTGTAATGAAAAGCTGTGATCTTGGGAAGTTCCAGGCCCTTATGATGGCAGCTTTAAGATAAAAAGAGCTATTGAAGTCCCTTCCTCACTATTCTTCTGCTCATGTGGACAGTTTGATTTTTAGCTATGGCTACATATCAAACATTAAACAGCTGAAACAGCATCCTATGTAAGGCAAGTGAAGTAGAATCATTTTCCTTGCTTCCCATGATGAAGATGGAAACGATCCTTTAACGTAGCTTTTGGCGAGCACAAACAGTGTACTGGTTTCTAGACTTTCATGACATTTCTCTTTGACAAAGAGCTGATGGCACACACAGGGCTAAGCCAACTTCAGTGCCAAAGAAAGAGAAAAAATACTATTCTAGTAGGCATTACCAGAACCACCATACAGTTAGTACTATCTCTTGAATAAAATCTAACGATATGCACCTGTGGAAGATCCAAGCTAAATGTAAACCACAGAGGGCGACTCCATAGTACATGAGTAAGCATTTTGATCGTTACTTAAGAGCCCTTGAAAGACATGTTATTTAATACATTGAAATAGTTGCTTACCAATTCAGTATTAATTTACCAACACAGAATAATAGCATTTCATAGTGCATTAAAATTCCTGTTAGAGCTACCATTTCTGTTAACTTACCAATTAAGTTCTGTAAGCTGATTTCACAGATAACCACAGCTAGGTTAATTTACAGGAAACAGAGTGTTGTCAGTCCATTCAATAAACTACATGAATATACCACGTCAAAACTGATCAATTATATCAATGAAACAGAAGAAAGGCAATGCTGTAATCATTTTGTTCAGAGGTGGAATTATTTTCTTAATTATTGGTGAAATGAAGTACATGGATCTACAAGTATACCTCGGGTCTTCAATTAATTGTAACAAATATTGGATTATTCAACGTGTGTGTGTGTGTATATGTACTTAATAAAGATGAAATTTTAAGAAGTATATGCATACATGCCTCACAGGATACTTAGGCACCCTTTACTGTTCTCCAGTTTGTACTTGTTTGTACTGCAGGCTGATAGGAAGGAAGAGAATAAAGAAATGGGGTGGGGGGGGGGGGGTCTCTGGTAATGTAGATTCTTAGAAGCTCTAGCTCCAGGAACCAATCCTGGGGGTCTTTTCAACCGGTCAGATGCTACAGTGGAAACTATATAAGGTACCAGGAGAGATATCAAGTTGGTGGTTTATTCTTAACTAATTCCTGAAATACATAAAAGGAATTGGTTCTTAAATGGTAGACTGACTTTCTCACAGTGCAAGGGATGTACAGAGCCTGAAAGGGTAAGTGATGTTCCAGGAGAGGGTAGCATCCTTCAGGTTTTTCTCCTTCTTTAGCCATGACTTGGGTAGATGAATACCCTTGTTGCATAATATGAATGAAAATTGAAATTTGCAACTAAAACAAATGGTGGTGTTAAAGAAGTCACGAGCATTTTAGATGGAAGAGTATATTCCTTGGGGGGCATAGTAGTGTTAGTCATGCCATTATTAGTATGGTGTGGTCATGTGACCACATTCAGAAAGAATTGATGCCAGATTTTGTAAAAGGTTTGTTTGTTTGTTTGTTTGTTTGTTTATTTAGGGAACTTCTATGCCCCCCCATTCCCCGAAGCCTGGGGGCGGCTCACAAACATAAATAACATCATATAAAACAATATAATTTAACAGTATAAATTAAGTCGCCCTGGCCAAAGAATAAATAAATGGTATTAACAATTAAATAACGTTTGAATAAAAAGGTCTTCGCCTAGTGCCGAAAAACAAATAACGACGGCACCAGGCGGCCCTCTCTGGGGAGTGCATTCCATAGATTGGGCACCATCGCAGAGAAAGCCCTCCTCCGGATACTCAGCCTCCTAATATCATTCACAGAGGGTTCCTGGAATATCAAATATGTAAAAAATCAATTGTAAGTATGATTTAGGAAACGATTAGGGTTAGAATGTAGCTCTCCAGACATTTGTGACCAACTTCCAGAAGCCCCTGTCAACCTGGCCACTAATCAGGAGTGCTGAAAGTTCAGAACATCTCAAGCTCTATTGGGTAAAGCACATTCTGGCACTCAAAGCCTGCCAGCTGAAACTTCAGTGGAAAGTAGTAACTTGCCTGCCACTGGACATACACTAGTTATAGTTTGGGCATATACAATTATATGGATATGCCTGCAGAAAGCTACACTAGCTTATCAGCATAATTCCACTAGTATAGCAGATGATGTTAGGCAAAGATGGGATTGGGAATTCAGATAGCAAAGAAATAAAAGGACACGGAGACTTCTGTGCAGAAGAAAGAATAAACACAGGATGTAAATCTTTTGGAGCAGGGCAGATGATATAAAAGGAGTGTGGAGCTGAGGAAGGGCCATTATATTTTGGAAACAATGATAAAAAGAGAAAGGGAAAGCTCGGAATAAATGTAGGACACTGTTGGGCAAAGTTTGGGAGTGGTTCCCTTTCGTCCACTCACCTTCTTGTGATGCTTTTGGTTGTCTCTGAAGAGGTTAGGGTACCTTAGCATTTATTTATCTGTGTTCACCTGTTTATTGATGCCTTGTTTAATGAACACAGGCTTGGTTTTTTATTACAAATCTAACACACTGAGTTCAGTCCTCCCTGTCCCAATTTTATACATAGTTGCATTACCAAAAACAAAAGCGTTTCTGCAAATAGATGTTTTGCTTATCTGCAGTTTTTATATATAAGCATTTATGAAGAGAAGGAAATTGGTAAACTCTTATCCCATGGCTATTATGCAGGAAAGTGAGATCGATTTAAACTCCAAAATAGTGACAATGGAGTGTGATATTCTTCCAGTGGCTAGGTTAAGAATACATTCCCAACCGTCTCCAAAACTCTTCTACCTCCTTGTACCTTCCCATGGAGCTCAACCTAACTTTTCTGAGCTGTGTGGGCAAATTCCTTCCATCCAGTGCAAGACATCCCCTTTTAGTGCTTGCAGTACTCCTGCAAGCTGCTGCAACAACAGCAAAGCATTTCCAGTCAGGTTGGAGGGTGGGGAGAAAGCAGGAATGAGGTTGGTGAAACAGCAGCAAAGCTATTTCCCTTACAGAAAGGTTGCCTCCCTCCAGGCCCAAAAGGTTACCTGTTAAATAAATTGCTAACATGATTTTCTAACTGAATTTTGATTTTTCCCAAACCCTGAATTACGTGGATACACCCAAGCAAATATTTTAAAGTTTATGCTAAAACATCCCTTTGGGTTTGATTATGTCGTACCCAGAATGTATTCACACAGATATACAAGCAGTTTTAGTTTATGTTAAGTCCCATGAGTAGTATCCTTGAAGTATGACAGTCTGAATTAAATCCATACTTGTGTATATTGCGTGTTGTGTGCGCGTGAGAGAGCGAGGGAGAGAGCGCGCGCGCTAAATGGTTCGATATCAGGTGTTCATATTTCAGAAACAACTTTTATCCACAAGGGGGAGCTGTTGTCCTACTATTGTAGTCATGAAGAATGGTACTTACCCATGCTAGTGGCACGGAAGGAAAATTGAATAGCATGAATACATCGTATTAAAAGCATTTGCATCTTCAACTGAATTCTATCACAGTTCCTGAATATTTTCCCTATGGATACTTCCCTGTTTTATGTGTCTTTTGATCACAGAACTTGATGTGATGCTGCAGCTTCACCTGAAAACCTGCTGCATTCCAACACAAACTGCAGAGGAACTGGACTCCTTAGGAAGTAGTTCCAGGATAACACTTGGAGAATTTAAAAAAATGACTTTTTGAGTTTCACTGTGTGTGTGTGTGTGTGTGTGTGTTCTCTCTCTCTCTCTCTCTCTCTCTCTCTCTCTCTCTCTCTCTCTCTCTCTCTCTCTCTCTCTCTCTCGGTTTAGCTGCCTTCGTGTACTCTTCCTGCTTGGCTTTTGAAACTTCCATTGAAAACTGCTTTTTGCTATCCATAGTCAGTTCCTCCAAAACATGAAACTAAAGAAGTAGGCATTTAATGTTGGAAGTGCATCTTATTAGCTTCCTTCAGTGTGAAATATGATTACTGTTCACTTTCTGGCAAATCATAAACAGCAGAAGTATTTACAGATAACATCAGTTGCCATTCTGTTCGAACGCACTCAAATCACTTACAATAAAGGCTCTTGAGAGGAAGTGCAGCTAGCATAGAGAATGCAAGCAAAATTCAGATAGGCTGTGCAGAAGCACTGCCTCCTCCTAAGAGTAATAATGAAACAAGTGACTCAGGAAAACACTATTTCCTCTGGAGATTTTAAGAGTAGTTACGTTAGAGCCATCTACTGGCAGTACTTTCAGCAGATCGAGAATCATTTAATTGCATGGGGCATAGCCAAATGACTTCGGTGAGTCTACAAAAGGGGTTTCAGAGTTCATATAGCCTATATAATCATGGACATTTGTGTGAGGGAAGAGGAGAGCTGCTCGTAAATATACCCCAATATTGGTAGCTCCCGAAATGCTAGCAAGAAACAAATATAGAAATGATTTACGTCCTTTGAAATATAGATTTGGGTAAGTTATATATAAAATATGCACCACTCCAAACTACTCTAGTTTTCTCTGGTCACCACATTCAGGGTACATTACACAGAAAAAGTTCCAAGGATGCATTCTACACTCTTCCTTCTCTACTGGTGAATTTTGATATCCCTCCTAATCCCCATTTTAGCATGTTGGTTCATTTATGAAAGGAGGTTTAATTTGCTTAGTACTCATTATAACAACAGATGCAATCCCAAAGAAATGTGAATGGATGCCAACTTTTCAATGTCCACAAAGCTTTACTCCAGGTGTGTGATTATGGCAGAGGAACAAATCAGAGCCTCATGTGCTCAAATCAAAACCACAAAAATGTCTGCCAAGCTTTCTAGCAGTGCAATGCTTACTTTATTAGCAGCAAGTTGGGCTCCTACGTGCAATACAATGTTTTCTGAAACCTATTTGCAGCTTGAAATACAGAGGTGCAGTAACACAGTGCCTATTTAAGTGTGCTTTACTTGCCACTTCCAGCAGCTGCAGTCCCATCTTAAGTTTTCAGTTACTTTCTAATACTTTTACTCACAGTGTGGACTGCTGCACCCTTTTCCTGCACACTGTTCAGCCGATGCAGATAAGTCTGCATAGGCTTCTCTTGAACATGGCAGGAAGGGCTACAGCCCCCCAGCAACCCCCAGCAGAGTCCTTTATTTTGCCAGAGGCAAAATGCTTTGTTTCAGCTGAGTTTTTATGAACCTCAGCAAATTATTGTGGGGTTCCTACAGCCTTTCAAATGACTTGATTGGGACTAAAGGCATTTATCACTGCAATCCATGGTGGCTCAGCTGCACTCACAGTTGTACATTATATACTCATGACATATAAACATGGCCCAGTTCATCATCACACCAAGTCATGCTGGCACCATTAATGTTTGCTGTATGGTAGCCAGCCATGCTACTAATTATTTTAGAAGTGATGATGTGTTAAAGTATGAGGAAGGCATACCAGGTGCATGTATATGCAGGAAAAATGATGTAACAGTACTTTTTAGTGAGACTTAGGTGAGGCACCTTTGGACTGCAGGTGGCGCAGTGGTTTAAACTGCTGAGCTGCTTGGCTGGTTGATCAAAAGGCTGCTGGTTCAAATCTGCACAACGGGGTGAGTTCCCGTTGTTCCGTCCCAGCTCCTGCCAACCTTGCAGTTCGAAAGCATGCAAATGCAAGTAGATAAAAAGGTACCCCTTCGGTGGGCAGGTAACAGCGTTCCGTGCACTGCGGTGTTTAGTCATGCCGGCCACATGACCACGGAGACTGTCTGCGGACAAACGCTGGCTCCCTCGGCTAGGAAACAGAGATGAGCACCACCCCCTAGAGTCAGGCATGACTGGACTTAATGTCAAGGGGAAACCTTTACCTTTTTCTCATTGAGACCAGGTGGTAGGAGTCCAGACATGAGGTGGTTGAGGCCCCATCAGAGAGGGTTTTTCAAGGAAAGATTAGACAGCTACATGTTGGAGATGGAACTGGCTGGAGCTGGCTGGAGCTGGGGGTCAGACTAGATGGCCCAGGAGGTCCCTTCTGACTTGCTTTGTTCCTAAGTGATTTAGCATCTTTCTGTCCCTGCAGCAGAAGTAGGTTATAAAACAGGGTTCTGTTGATGCTGAAAACTGTTTGTTCAAAGGAGCTATGTTACAGCCTGGACCCACCTTTGCCTGATCCTCAGCCTTTTGGGCAGGTTCCTTGTCCTTGGCCATGCTTCCCATACCAGCCATTTTGTGATGGTGTCCAGGGCAGTTTTTCAAATTGCCAAAAGTGCCAACACCCCAAGAGGTTATCTGCCTCTGCCCTACAGTTGCCCACAATTGTTTGCAAGAGCTAGTTCCTTGATTATGTTTCTCTTGTCATTCCTGCTATTGCTGGGAATGATAGTAAACAGAGGAAATAAAACATGTTCTTCCATCTGTAGAACATTGCAGAGCAAAGGATGTATTTTAGATTGTAACATTAGAATCATAGTTACTCTACTTCCAGCAGCTATAGCTGTGCAGTCTTCGGGTGAGCAACAAAGGCAAGAGATAAAAGACAGGAAGAGAAAGCTCCGAGTTCTCAGAAGCAAAGGAAAGCTTAGAGAATGAGCAGAAAAGAAGGGTGCATACAGTCAAGAGATGCATAGGAGAGGAAGGCTTCAGTAGTATTTCAATATGATATTGAAACTTTTACTGTAGTCCTCTTTATAAAATTCCACTGTAGTGAGTGACTGCAATCCCTGCATTCTTCAAGGCAGAAAATCTAGGCATCCCTGGCCTTTTACAGGAGCATTCCACAGCTGGATTTCAGTGTATGCATTCCAGGTATTGCTTCCCCCCCGCACTTCTTTACATCATCCTTTCTAAAGGAAACAATCCCCCTTTAAAAACTGGATACAGTATTCAAAAGTAGATTAATATAATTTACATTTATTATCCAACCATAAATGTATTTCGTACTAGTGATGGTTTTTTGTTTTTTTGGAAAAGTTTGAATTTTTCACTTCAAATTATGTTAATTTTCCTGGTGTCATTTGCATTCTGCTGTTCTTACGCTCTGCAGTGTGGTGGGCAACTTGTGGCCCTCCAGATGTTTTGCCTACAGCTCCCAACATCTGTTACCATGTGGCTGTGCTGACTATCACTGATGACAGCCATAGGCTACCTGGGGTGATCCAATTAAGCATGTTATTTTACTTGCATTTCATTAACATAAAATCTTTTTGTCCCAATGTACCATATGTATTTCACCTGAAATATTTGGGGAAAACATTAAACCACTTTGAATACAATGTAAATGTTACGTAGATTTTTTAAATTATAGTACTTTTAATAGCATGTTATTCCCTTATAATGTTTAATTTTAAAAGCATACCCAGAAAGTACTGAAAACTGTTGACATATTAATTTTAGCAACCCAAAAAAGTATGCCTTAGAATCATATTGTGCTCACTTAGGAGAGTGATCATTCGCACAGTGGGGCTTTTGTGCTTCTGCAAATAGTTTGAAATTAGCCCCACCAGCAGCTTCTGGAATGGGCATGACAATGGAGCTCGCAGAAGGAAGGTTGGCTGGCCTGTCCTGATCTAGAAGCTAACATTTCTGCAAAGGGCCTTTTGTGTAAGCAGACACTCTTGCAAATGCTGAATGGAAGTGAAAGTGCATGCTGAATTGCCCTGTACTTATATGACAGGGCCTCCCCAATTAGTTTAGGCTAGATGACTGGTGAAAATACTGAATATGCACTGAAACTGGCCTAAAGAATTTGCATATTTCCCCCATGAAAGCTTACAATTATGGATCAACTCTCTTCTTCACTTCTTTCTGTATGAACACCCATCTTCCCCAGTTATGACAGGTTAGCCAAACTTTTTGATACTCTTTAATATGTAACCACTAGTCTGTGCAGAACATCATCAGAGCAAAGGAAAAAAATATTTGAATGGGTGTTAGGTTCTTGAGGGGAGAATAGAGCTGCAGCTTCTCTTTGGATGGATGTGCTGCTGCAGCTGTCACCATGCCTGTTGCCAGCAAGCTCACTGTAGCTGCCATTTGAAAGAGGTTTGCCATGGCATGGTTATTTTTATACATTATTTTCTTGTGTTGCTGATGTTAATAAGGCCTGGAGTTTACTCTAACACAATTATTTTTTGGCACACGTGCTACAATAAATAGCATTCTATGAACAAAACCTTCCATGGACTTAAAGTCTGCTCTGTGATTTCCACTGGCAAATAGATTGGCACTTAAATAAACTTTAGAAAGACTACCAAATATCCAAAATTCAGATATAAAAGGGAAAAGAAAAACATAGCACAAGAATGAAAAAGCATTATTTATTTTTCAAGTACAACTCCAAGTTGTATTGGTAAAAAAAGCACAAGGGAATTGTGTTTCATCCACAAGTGTTGGCTATGCACATTTCAGTTCAACTTAAAAATGCATTCAAGTTTACAAATGTACAAACAGCACATAAAATGTATAGTTTGAACAGAATGCTCTTATGTTCAGCTATTTTTGCTCCTAAGATTTTTACATTCGTAGAGTCTTTTAACAAAGACAGCCTTATTTTTTAAAAAAATACTCTGCATTTTTAGCACAAGGTGCTCTTTAAAATTATGTTTGAGAGCATAATACTGGAAAACAAATTAAAACCCAAGCATGGTAGTAAAAAATCACTGAATTTTGGAACTTAACTGGCTTTAAAAACATAAGGGGCAGGTGGTAAACAAACTGAGTGTGGCTCTAGATAAATAGTTTTTGACCACAGCCAAACTTTCCAAGCTGATCAGTGATTCCACACTACCATAATTGCAAGACAGAGTTCAGAGGAGCAAATGATAACTGCATGACTAGATTTTAACAGTGTTGTGGCATGGAGCAAGGGAGAGGAATGGCAGCGGATGGCTTGCAAATTATGTTCCAGGCTTGTTACAGAATTTTTCATGATCAGATCTGGACAACAGCCTCTTTGTGTTGCTTAATTTCCATTGTCAGGAGGGTAATGCACGTTAGGCCAAGGATCTGAGCTTCTTCTTCCAATTGCAGGGCTCCAAATTAGCCATGGGTTATAAGTTTGTCCCACATCTTCAGGACTGCTAACTGTAGGGGCAGTTGCAGGTGGCGATGGGGCATTTTCAGTCCCGAGATCAATACTTGCCAATGTGCTGGCCGGAGTGTTGAAAGGAAGGGAGCTGTTCAAATTACTGGACCAAATGGAACTGCTGAACGGGGTAGTGGTAGGAGACCACAAGCTGCTTCCATTGCCAAGGATAGACTGCAATACAAAAAGGAGCAGAGAATCTAGCAGGAAAATAATCTATCTTGCTTATTGAATTTATTCAGCTCTCAACGAATCATGACAGTAGGTACTTAAATGTTCAAAGGGAAATTAAGGTGCAAGATTCTGCTGTTAACGTCCATTACTAAAGTCTAAGTTTAATGTGAAACAATTAGTTACATAGAAAGTGACCACATCAATCATTAATCCTTTCAAATGCTGGGCATGCAGTTATCATCAATGTTTACCACATAAGAAAAGATGGATGGTTGGTTGTGTACATACACAAACTGTGCCAAGGATCTCTCTCCTCTGCATGGGCAGACTGTATGAAATACTATTATGCAGAAGAGGAACATAGGAATATTTGACTTAAAATGGTACTGCCAACCTCGGGTAAATTCAGGTATGCAGTACGAAATACTGTGGTGGGAGCATTTAATTGTGGAAATGGTGATCAACCTGTAGCAGATGAGGTTCTATTTCCCTCAAAGGTGAGGTTAAACATTTAGGATGCTCCCGTTTCTGCCACTAAATTACAAGTCAGGGGTTTTAAGCCTTATTTGGAGGTTTTGAAGAAATCAATTGCCCTTGATCATGAGAAAATTCCTGAAACCTATAAGCAATTCTATACAATGATGCATCTGTCTTTTGTTTTGTTGGTTCCAAATTGCTACTGGATGGCCAAGTACTACCTGTAACTTGGAACAGTATTTCCAAAGTCCCCTTGATAAGCTAATGGGGGCCCTATGAGAAAGGAATACTAAGTAGGTTATTCATGGTTATCCATGGCTCACTAACATCTAACTGCAGTATGTAATATTTGAATGTCTTTAGAAACTACAACTGGTTTGGAACATAAACATTAGGTTAGGTGCCTATAATGGCTATATTAAACCCACAGTTGAGAAGATTCACTCTCTTTTGGTTTGTTTCAGAGTGCAATTTAATGTGCTAGTTGTGGCTTTTAAAACACTGCCTGTAACCACAATACTTTAAGGACCACCTGCCCTCGCCTGTGGTTAGGCTGGCCATCAGGCTTGGCATTACCACCAAGCACCCTAAGCCGGCAGGATCCATGTCTGACCTTGTTATGGCCCACTGGCAATGGTGCTGCTGGTCAATGCTCTGCCCGGGTGGCCAGAATCCAAATGCAACAACCCAGAAAGTTCACTTTTCCGAACCATGGTAACTGCCATGTTGTAGGGCTGACCTTTACCTTTAATGTTGGAACTAGCTCTGCTGGTGGCTATTAGAGAGAGGTGGCTTATCCTTTAGGCATCAGGCAAAGTATTTCCTCTTTACTCGCAGTGATATGGAAATAGATTTGTTATATTCATAAGAGTTTTTATTTATTTTAGGTTGGGTCTCTCATTGGTTTGTCAGTTGCCAGATTATTGCTGCCTGTGATGTATAATGATGCAAGTCTCTGGATTCTTTGAGTTTTATGATGCTAGTATTGCGTTACAAAACCACCTTGAATGACTTTTATCACAGCAGGCAGCATTCAATTAAAAACGCTTTTAGCTGAAAGACTGACTAAAACTCACATAACTAAAGTGATCCATATTTAACTGGGTTGTAAACTGAACAAAAATCAATGTATAAAAATAAAAATATATACTGAACACTAGGAAAGGCCAACTGAACTCTAGTTATTTTTATGTACATTTTATTTATTTATTTATTTATTTAAAACATTTTTATCCCGTCCTTTGCAACAAGCTTCAGCATGGCTTACAAAAGAGTAAAAAAGTAATATAATACAATTAAAAATTCAGTAATAACGCAACATGAACAACACTTCAAAACTAAAGAAAAGGAGGAAAGAAAGGAAAAAGGAAGAAAATGCAACTGTGTAAAATTATTATAATTGTTATTATTAAAATTAATTTTAATTATTCAAATGATGGCTAAATAGAAAGGTCTTTACCTGGTGCCAGAAAGAGTAGAGAGTCGGCGCCAGGCGGACCTCTCTGAGGAGCATAGTCCATAGTCTAGGCACCCCCAGAAAAAAATTCCAGAGATTTTGGGAAGGAAGATCTTTGTTTTGAACCATGCTCACAAGTGAAAGATTAGACAATAAAGATAGCCTGCGTAATTGTACAAGGCTGCAGCTGGATTTTATGGTTGGCACACAGGAAACTTTAGAATTGTTTGGCTGTAGAAAAGTCTTTACTGGCCTTGTAGCACTTTAGCATAAATCAGAGAGTAATGGGTTTGTTAAGTGCTACAGTTGAAAGGTTAACAAGATTTTGTGCAGACCCTGTACAGGGGCAGGTTAAGTTGACTTAGTGCATTGTCCTGAGAAAGTCAAAATTCAGCAGGGCATTCGTCGGTATGATTGCACAAAGCCCACAAAGAAGAACTGTATTTCTGTGCATTTTTCTCATACTAGTAAGAATGGGAACAAAGAGATAAGAGAATCATACACTTACTGAAGTTGTGTGAGTTGGAGAACCTGAACTTGTTGGCCAGGAGGTTATCAAACCTGTAGCAGAAGGGTCCCAGATGGATGAAGAAACATTATTAAATTCACTCCAATTCCTCTGAGCATCCTGACCATAAACAGATGGTGATAGTCCAAGTTTGCTGAAAACTTCTGATGGGGAGGAAGAAAAGATTTGTGATTCATTTATGCCAGTGTGGTTTGTTTTGACCATTTAAAAAGGGCAATGAGTGGCTAAATATAGAAAACATGTCAAAAAGAGCAATCACAAACATAATATGAAATTAGGACATTTAGAGAGTTTTATTTTTTTCCCAAAACTGAAATGCAAGAACCAGCAGCTTGCTAATATAAATAGTCTGAACACCATTCATTCCCATGGTCACTATTTCAATTCTTCCTGCTGTAGATTTATATTGACATTTTGAACACAGATAGTTTTTTAAAGGGAAGCTCTGTGTCACTAAAATGGAAATTACTGCAAGCTTTGGAAGAAAGTTCTGGCTTGCTCTAAATCAACTCTACTGAACATATGTTACGTTACTTCAGGACAGAAAGCCTGACAGATTTGGCAGGTTTAACCCTAGGAATCCAAGTCTTGCTTTTAGTTCCTGATCAACAGGGAAAAGTCTATTTACCCTTGGATAAAAAGACTCTTGTCTATTTCATAATATAGTCCGAGTTAATGCTTAAGATGTGAATTCTCAGCATAGAAACTATGTTGCTGATTCTCTCCAGTATTCAACAGATTCATGGCTCTCACAAGGCATCCCTGCCATTAAGAGGAGTGAACATGCTCCTCCCCAATCCTCTCCAATTGTTCTACTTGATTACCTCGACTATATAAACATCTATTCTCTTAGGTTACTAAGGCAATGTGCCCCTGCCTTGCTTCCAAACTTTTTCAAGGAAATCTGAAGTCCATATATTTGTCCATTCTACTTTGCAGAAGTTTTCCAAACCAGAGAAAGAACACTGCTATGGATAAGAAAGTTATGAATACTAAGCTGGAGTCATAGTCCATGAACAAATCCTAGCTTATGACTCTGGCTTGTTGGGAAAGAGGCAACTCAGAGCTCCTGACTCAGATATTAAGCTATCCAGACCAGCAATACCAAATACTTGGCTTGTTTAGCTGCTCCTGTTGGCAGAAGGAACCAAGCAGGAGTGATTGAGCCATGCTGGCACTGCCATGCTAAGTCAGTTTTTTTTTTTAAATGGCTTACATGGTATCCATATGCAATCACAACTCTTAGCCTAAAAGATATGAAAAAAACAAGCGAGATACAGAAGAAAGTGGTCCTGTTTGCATGTAATGAAGAGTCATGGGTGAATTCCTCAAGACAGTGGCCTGCATTTTGAATATTAATATGAAATCATTCTGGCAGGGGCTTGAACTGGCTACCTGGCGCTGCAACTCACCACAGCTAATAAGCCTCAACTAAGTATGCAAACCAGGCCAGTGTGTGACTGTTTATATAATTTTAAAAGTTGTTAGAAAAGCCCTATTTAGTATTTCCATTTAGTCTCCATTTCAGAGAAACACCAATAGCCTTTAAACAAGCATATGTCCTCATCTCTCAGCCCTAGTGATTCTGTTCAGTTCTCACAAAGCCTTTGCAGATTAAAGCTCACCATTCCAAAGAAATTCTACAGTAACCTGCCCCAAGTACTTCAGTTCAGTGAAAAGAAATCTAAATACATAACCCTAAGAAATCTAAATTAAGTTATTTGACTAACTTGTTCAATCTTTTTGATTTTTTTCATGTTGCTGACTCTTGGCAAAATGGTAGGAATGTTATGCAATATAATCAATTAAGTATAACATTTCTGGCAGAAAACATTTATTGCTCCCCAGTACAGCTATTAACTATTGCATATTGTTCAGTTAATTTTCATACCACTCACCTCCAGTTAAATTAAAAGAATTTCCAAATGCTGAGAATGAGTTGAGGGGTGTGAAATCTGGGCTGCTAGGATTGCTTATAGGACTCCACAAACCAGAACTATGTAAAATGGGAGAGAGAAGAGGTGTTTGTTAGGAAGATCACTTCACCATGAGAAGCATTAGAGCACAACCAAACCTAATATGGATAGTGAATGTCAGTAACACGAATAATTCTAATGCATTATTAATTTTGTCTAAAATATATGGTGCATGACAACTCATCTGTAGTGAATGGAAGAAATTTTTCTCTTGTCCATGGAACTGGGCAAGCTGGTCCACATTGTCACGTGAGAAGAGGAAATGCTGAATTTTTGTTCTGTTATTCTAATGTGTCCTTCCAGATATTCAGGCTGACAACTCCAATTAGCTTTCCTCTCCTGTGTATGTTGGCTAAGTCTGATGGGAGTTGTAGAACAAAACATCAGGCCACAAAGTGGCTGCCTGCGGTCTAATGTAAAATTACAAAGACGCAATGCTGTGCTTAACAGCTTGTCCTCCAAATTTAGAGGTTTGAGCAACATTTTTGATAGGAAACATGTTTAATTAAGATTCTTTAAATGAATGAACAGGACTTTGTAGCTCCTGAAGCATGGTGTGGGGCACAAAAGGTTCTGCACAAAAATGTTGTTCAACCTTCTGTTTTAAAAGAATTGATCCACGTTACCTGTCAGAGCCATCACTATCAACAGTGGTGTGTGAAGCATTCATACAGCTAGGCGGTTCAGTTTTGACCAGGGAAGGTTTTGTTAAGCCGCTACCACCTGCAAAAGTGAGTTTAAATGAATAAAACGAGACAGCATTGCAATTACACCTTAGGACAGCAGTTGCTTTTCCAGGCCTGTGTATTACCTGGACTCTTGTCATAACCAGCAGCTACAGCAGCAAAAGTAGGATTTCCATTCCTGCCCGGGAGAGAGGCTGTCTTTGCCACCTTATGTTTAGCACCACTGAGCAATTTGTTTTTCGGTTCACTAAAAGAAAGTGGGGAGAACAGAGGTGATATTCTTTAGAGGAAGCCAAACTATTATTTGAACATCAAGGCAGTGATGCAATGTCATCTGATGAAGTGTGTCACAAATGACTTGTGTGTCGAAGGAAACTAACAAAAACCAGAGGACTTGGTCATCTCTCTTCATCTTCCTTTTCCAAGAGCACTCTTAAAAGAGAGTGAGTACTGATGAGTGGCCAGATGTACTGATTAAGACACTGAGTGGGGGTCACACAACACAACAACCCATAGTGACTTGTAAGTCATATTAACTTAGCATGGCATGTGAACCTGGGATCAGTTTGTCACGGTAGCTTCCATTTGGATTATAAACCACTGTGACAACCCATTGTTTGCTCAAATTAGGTTCTTGTGTTTCCAAAACCGGGTGACACAACCCCTTGTGGGTCAACCCCATGGGTGAACAAGCTACTTAGCATGGGCAGCAAAACTGCCTTTCTGTTTTTGCTAAGAGGCTCCCAGGTGACCACCATTGCAATCCAAGTCTAAAGTGTCTTAGCAGCACTTGGAAGCAGCTGGCAAAGGCTTCTCTCACTCCCCTCGCTGCTTGCTCTAGCTTCCCCTTTTGAAGGCTATGAGCTATCCCTTCAAAGAGCCCCTGGGTACCTTGCAAGGCTGCTGTAACTGTCCAATATTTTTAAAAGTATTTTTTCACAGAAAGAGGGATCCCTTTGCCCAGAGGAGTTCCTCAATACGAAGTGGTATTAACCTACCTATCTGCAAATTCTGCCAGCTAAGTTTTGCACTAATTTAATCTTGAAAGAAGGAAGTCTGCTTTTACTGTGCCAGAATGATCAGCATGCATACTGCACTGCCCTCCAAGCTCTCTTGTAAGTTTTGCATTCATTAGGATCTCAAGTAGGATCTCAAATCCTGCTTCACTCTGTTCATTTCCCGTAACTACCATTTAATTAACAGCTTTTGATTTATGACAGCATATTTGGGAATCTCACCAGATCTTTATATTTTTACCTTCTACAGAAATTGTACAGACAACTGTACCTTGAGACTCATTCCAATACAACGTTTGATATATTTTGGAGAGAAAAAAGGGGTTAAAATTGAGTATGTGTTATTTGCTGGTTAAAGTAGCATGGTTAAAAGAGGTAATTGTAGAATGGTATAAGTTTCTTATCTCCAGAGTTTACTGTTATTACATAGTGCCCATCTGGACTTACTTGCAGTTGTTCACAATACTGCTGTAAGTGTTCCGTGATACAAATGCCACCGATGCAGGAGGAGGAGATAGAGAGGCAGGAGTTGGTGAGGTCTGCCGTTGCTTCAAAAAAGCATCTGCATTGAGGGTTTGCAGGGACAGCTTATAAAGGTTGTCAGTAGCTGGAACCAGAACAAGACAGATTTTAGTAACCATATTAGCTTTTCTGGAAAACCTTGTACTGAGAATGCCCCAGTAGACCAGAAATTTTGTATTTTAACACAGTTCAATCCAATTGAGTTGCTTAAGAGGAGTACAAGTTTCAGTTCAGTGCCCACTTAAGGAGCTACTATGCACCACCTAAAAGTGACATCCTTATATAATGATATCTACTAGTTTTGGTTTTTACCTTTTCCCCCAGGAAGGACAGTGGAAGACAAGAGAATGAGCCTAAGACATTTTCTTAAATTCCTCCTTGAGGCATTTATGAGCTGGGGTAGGGCAACAGAACTCATCAGGTATATCCTCCAAACAAACCTTCTGTGCCAGGAACTTTGAAATAATCTGCTTCTGTTTTGTTAAGGAGCATGAATTATTTGAAAAAAAATCAAATTCTTTGCTACTGAATTTGAACCTTTTATTCACTACCTGTAAGCATTATGGCTCCTTCATGGATCACTGCCTTGTTGTGGCGAAGGGGCTTGTGTAGCTCAATGAAGCTATGATCTATACCGTGCAGGGCTACCCAAGACGGACAGGTCATAGCAGAGAGCTCTGACAAAACGTGATCCACTGGAGAAGGAAATGGCAACCCACTCCAGTATCTTTGCCATGAAAACCCCATGGACAGTACCAAAAGGCAAAAAGATATGATGCCGGAAGACGAGCCCCTCAGGTTGGAAGGTGTCCAATATGCTACTGGGGAAGAGCAGAGGGCTAGTACTAGTAGCGCCAGAAAGAATGAAGCAACTGGGTCAAAGCCGAAAGGACACTCAGCTGCAGATGTATCTGGTGGTGAAAGGAGAGTCCGATGCTGTAAAGATCTA